CATGTAGATAGAACGGGGTAATATACAAGGTTACAGCCACATTGGAACACAGTTTGAGAACTTCTTAAAGATTTAAACAGATTGGCCATATGATCCAGAAAATTTAGTCCTAGGTATTCAGTGAAGTGAAAATACATGTCCATAGAAAGTCAGGCATGTGAATATTTATAGCAACATTTTAAAAAATAGTTCTAGACTGAAAACAATCCAAATGTCCACTGCTGGATGAATAAACAAAATAAGTATATTTATACATTGAAATATTATTCAACAATAACAAGGGATGTGCTGCTGACAATTTTGCAATATGGATGAACTTCAAAAACACTATGCAAAGTGAAAGAAGCTAGAATTAAACAATTACATATTTATAATTCCATTTATATGAAATGTCCAAAAAGGGCAAATTTACAGAGTCAGAAAAAAGTTTAATGATTGCTTGAAGCTGGAGCTGGGAGCTGGGACATACTGTACAGAAGCACAGGGGAATCTCGTGGGGTGATGAAAATATTTTAAGACCAGGTTCTGATGATGGTTGTACAACTCTATTCATTTACTAAAAATCATTGAATACTTTCAATCACTTTAAATGGGTGACTTTTATAGTATGTAAGTAATGCCTCAATAAAGCGGTTTAGAATTTTATTTTTCAGTTTATATAATTGTAACTGCTTTGGAATGATTTGTACATTACTATTATTTAATACAAGTTTTCCTAGACCTTCAGAAAAATAGGCTGTAAATCTATTGGGACTGAGTTATTTTGGGGTGGGAATATCTCAGACCAATATATCAATTGGATTAAAGTTTATTGACCTGTTGTAACAAAGGTAGTTATCTTATACTTTTTTTGTAGTCATATATCCAATTTGGTTTTCAAATGTATTAGCATACTGATACTTATAAAATGCTTTAATCATATTAATGTCTCAACATTTATTTGGTTATTTTTAATTATCATTCCATATATTTTTACTTTTCATATTGCTTTTCTCTTTGGTCAGTCCTACTAGAAATCTTTTGTAACAGGTTTTTTGATAATATTCTCTGTGGTTTCTGTTTCTATGGTGTTAATTCTTATTTCTTTATGTTCGTTGCTGTTTATTTTACAATGGGATTGAGGAATACTTTAAATTTAATTTTTAAAAAATTTCCGACAAATATATTTAAAGATATTAATAATTATATATCTCAGGATTTATGCTTTAAGTATTTCTATTTATCATTATTTTCCAAATACTTCTTAATTTCTCTACCCCAATGTTATTTAGTAATAGATTATCTAATTTTCAAATATGTGGAACTTTTAAATATTTTATATTAGCTTTTAATTTTATTAAATTTTGGTCAGATAACATAAATAATGTAGTATTGATATTTGTTATTTCTTAATACTTTGTGACCTAACAAATATTCTGCTTTTATGAATGTTTTATACATTCTAAAAAAAATGTTTATTTTCTGTTTCTTGGCTGTAGTTGTTCATAAAAATCTAATGGCTTAAGATTCTTTTTATTTTACTTAATATGTAAATTTCTGAGAAGTGTTTGCTTAAATCTCTAACTTCAGTTATTGATTTATTTAATTCTATTACATTCTATTTGTATTGTTTGACATATTTAAAGTCCATATTATTAGGTGAATATATGCTCATGATTGTTACACTTTCTTGTTCTTGTTCTTGTCTTTTCTTACTTCATATACTGTCCTTTTTGTCACTTATGACACATTTTTGGACTAAATTCTAATTTTTAAGTGTTAATTTGCTGCATATGTTCTCTTCTTATTCATTTTTGTCTTGTATATTTTTATTATCGTATTGTTTTTATACTTGCATGCCTTTTAGTTTTAATTTTTCTCAATACATGGGTTGATTCTTTTTTAAACCAATTGTCTGTTAATTTTTAGGTATAGCCCATTTGTATTTATTGTTATTTCTGTTATAGTAAGATTCGGTTCTTTCATTTAAAAAATATTTTCAGTTACTATACTTAGTAATTTCTTGTTTCTAGCTTTTTTTGGGTGGTGATTTACTTTCCTTTTTATCCTGACTATCCCTAAACAAACAGCCATTGTTTGATTATTTATTCTATTGCTAATATCTGTGTCTGTTGTCAATATCTTTGTCTTCTCTCCAAATGTATGTTAATCTGCTCTCCATATATTTTCTGTAAACACAATTTTGTTATTAACTTGATTTTAGTTTAAAATTCTTATTGCTTTTCTCTCTTTTATTCTTTTTATTGTCATTGTTGTTAATTATAGAAATCGTTCCTGTCTTCAGATATTTCTTTCTATATTTATTTCCTTCCTTTGGAGACTTCTAATTCTATTTTAGATGTTTTTTAGCTTTTCCTTTTTTAGAAAAATAGTTTCTTATTTCCATTGCCTTCTAGGAGAATTCCTTGATCTGATCATCTGGTTTACAGGTTCATTATTTATTTGTACCTATCCCATCTTTATTCTTTATATTGCTAGATTTATTATCATTTGAATATTTTCCATATTCAAAATTTCCACTTCGTTCTTCCTTTATAACTTGTTTCTTGTTATTGTTTTACATTTGTTTATGCGGATATCTTCTCTTATCTCTCCACAGCGTAGTTAGACTTGATAAAATATTTTTCTGCCCATTCCAATGTTTCTACTTAATTGATACATGTTGTTTAGTATATTCTGTTTTTTACTTGTCAGATATACAGATATTTTTATTGTAATATTCCATAATGGCTGTATTTATTTTTTCTGCTAAATTCAGTTAGGTCATGTTCAATGTCAAGCTTCAGTATGTAGCCCTTCCGGTGAGTATAAGGATAGAAAAAGAGACAAGACCCAGAGCTGGAGGTTCTGAATCTACTCTTTTCCACTCTAGTTTACTGCCACTTCACCAGGTCGGGAATCCATGGTAAGCTCTCAGGCAATGTCAACATTAGGAAGAGGTGTTTTCTGTAGGTTGTGATCCACCACCTAGGGGTTTGGAGGGAAAGGAGGTGTAGTCATAAATCCTTGCACCTGTTTTCATCATCTCCCAGCTGGCCTTTTGCCTTGCTCTGTCATTCCCCTGTCTACACCTGTGACCTAGTTAGTATGTTGCTGTTGATTTTCTGGTTAAGGGGCATAGCAGTGATTGTTTTGAGTTAATTACTTTGATCTATAATTTCCCTATGCTTCTGTAGTTTCTTCAGGAATGATTTTTGAGAGAAAACCAATAGCCATCCTGTTTTTTCTTTATGCTTCAGTCAGATTTCCCTTCTTTCTGTCCATTCCTTAAAAAGGACAGTCTAGTTTCCACCACAAATCCTTTTCAATTGCCATTCTCTATGCCTATAATGTTCTTCCCTCAAATTTTTAATGGTTGACACAGCCTCAGTAATCTCATCTCACCTCAAATGTCACCTTTGTAGAAAGACTTTTTTTGCTGCTATATCTAAAATAGTCCTCATTCTGATCACTATTGTATTTTTCTGTTTATTTTTGAAAGCACTTACTGTAATCTATAGTTGTTGTACATATCTGTCTCTTTCTATCAGAATGTAAGCCCCTTAGAATATGTATTCCATTTTTTTCCTCTCTCTCTCTCTTTTATTTTATTCTTTTCTGTGGCAGCTTCACAGTCCAGAAGAGTGCTAAAGTGTAGCTAATGTGTAATAAATTTTGTGGAAAAATGAACAAATAAATGAAAGAAACAACATATATGGCCACTGCTTATCTTATGTTCAATCTATTTTTAACTTCTTTCTAAACATATGAATAGTGGAGTATGTTCTTTAGCTTTTCTTTTGTATTTTCAGTTCTTGTCCTTCTAGATAAAAGCTTCTCAATCTGATCTTCTGTATCCTACTTTTATTCTTTATATTGTGTGACATACTGATTCATCATAGGTCTACATTCTAAGTGTTTCATATTTTTCATTAAAATGTCTTTATTTTGACAATGATGACATGAAATTGTATTTTGCAATGTGATATTCTAAAGAAAAATTATCCAGTTTTATTATTTGATTTTAGATAAAAGTTAAATTCAAGTTAACTCTATATCTTTTTTAGCTAGGTCATTTCACAATAACAAGTTGCCAAATAGTGTTTCATAAGAATTCACTTGATCCTTACTGCAAATCTGGAATGTAGGTAGGGTATGAATTTCCATTTTCCTGATGAGGAAAGTGAGGTGCAAAGAGGTGAAGTGAGTGGGTGGCAGGTCTGAGACTGGAACACTAGTCTTCAGTTATTACTTTGTGCATTTGTTTTTCTTTACCATCAAGTTTGTTCCTAAGTATATGTCAACGTTATTAGAATAGAGATTTGGGCTTTCTCCTGCCATACCTAAAAGATGCTTAGTTTTCTTGGCTTGTCAGTAGAGAAAACATTGAAAACAGCAACAACAACAACAATAAATGGTTTTGTGCCAGGCACTGTTCCAAGTGCTATACATGAATTAACATATTTAAATCCCTATATAGTCCTGAGAGGTTGACGAAATTATAACCATTTTGCAAATGAGGACACTAAAGCATAGAGGTGTTAAATAACTTGTCCAAGTCCAACAGCTTAAGCGGCAGACTTAGAAATATGAAACAAACAATCCTGCTCTTAATTACTATCCTAATCTATAATAATGGAAACTTTACTGTAGTTTATACTTTACTAAGAGCTTTCATATCCTTAATCTACTGGACCTCACTACTACTCTGTGGAGAAGGCAGGCAGGATTGGACAGACAAACAGTATGCCAAGTTTCAGAGCGGTGACTTGGTCTACTTTGCCCAGACAGCAAGTGGCTGAAGTGATACTGACATTCTTTCTTTCGAAATCTAATTTTATCTCTGTTCTTGGATCACGCTTTATTGCCCATAAATTTATTAGCTCACTATAGCCTTCATGATATGTTTTTTCTTCTCTAGCAATTTACATTATTGTGGGCTTAAAATGTTAATCTATTTATACATCTAAGAACTATTTTGTCTCTTATATTTTGATGTTCCTTGATCATGTCTTTTGCAGCTGAATTGTGATGATTTTAAAAAAGGAGAAAGAGATGGGGATTTTATCTGTCCCGATTTTTATGAAGCTGTTTGTGGCACAGATGGGAAAACATATGGCAACAGATGTGAACTGTGTGCTGAGAATGCGTGAGTATTCTCTGAAGTAGGCTTTCTCCCTAAAACATGTTCTCTCTGTAATTACATGACACAGTTTTTCCTACAGTCTTTAAGATAACGATTCATTGTGTGGGAGTTAGCCATTCCTAAATTATCAGTACCACTTCTTTTACTACTCTGAAGACAAATAAAGGTGTATAGCGTAACACTTTATATTTTACAAAGCAGTTTTATGTATGATTTATCAGATGGTTATCACTTTATGAAGCAGACAGGATAGGGAGATTATACATTATATGTTCATAATCTATAAAATGTTACAGTTTTTATATTTAAAATGTATAATAAAATATAGATTTAATATAATAAAACATTATAGAGTTAATATTATAATAAAATATCGATTTACTATTTTATAATCTATAAGATATAGATTATATGATTACAATATATAACAGAATATAGAATATATTTATGTAGATACACATACATATATATGTGTATATATACATACACACATCTATCTTCTATCTATCCATCATCTATCATCTATTTGTTTATCTATGAGTATACCCTTTTTCACAGAGAATTATTTCATCATCAAATTATGTTTATTAAGTGTTTAATAATATGTAATATTAGAGTAGATAATTGGGACTTTCAATATTACATTTCTTCCCATTTCTAAACATTTACCAAATAGCTAAGGCATCTTACTGTCCTATATCTTGTCCGTGTTTTGTTCTTTCTCCACCCTAAATGCTAGGTTTGGTTATCAACTGTCTTCACTAACAAGGTGACATACCTGCTTTGCAGGTTCTGGCTTGTGACCTCAATCTTGAATTGTCTGGTCTTAAGGCTTTGCAAATATAAAAACCAATGTTTATATAGGCTAATGAGGGATATTATAATTATTCACTTTCTGAGATCCTGCAAGCTTCAGCTCTCCTTGCAATAAATATTTTCAGCAAAGTAAGACTGCATTAAAACACTCTCATCCTTTGCATGATGGTATTTTCAGAAATTCACTTTAAAATTATGTCCTCAACTCTCACCAAGGGTCAACATAGAGAAACAGAAAACAAACATAGATATATGAAGAACATACAGATTTTTATCAGATATATATTGTGTAGCACAAGTATGAGCATGCTATATACTTAATTCTTACCGTGTCTTTATGTGGGGAATCCCGTTATGAGTCTTTAAATCTCTGGTCCAGGTGTAAGTTTCTCTCCCCTAATTTCTGGTATATTTCTTTGTACTATGCGATGAAATCATACTTCTCCTTGTGTTGTTTTCCTCGCAGCTCTGGCTGCTAGGAGGCTCTATAATAAAATTGAAAATTTGATTTTTATAGTGCTCTCTCAGCTGATATCCTTTGAAATACCTTTTTTTTTATCATTTGAAAATATTTAGTTTTTTCTTTATGTTGCTTTTACTAAATTTTTATTGTTTTACAGATATTATCATTGTCATCTGCTTTAACTTTTGACAAATTAGAAAATATCTCTTACATTTCTGGTTCTGTGTTTTCAGATATACTTTAAAGGTCTACTAGACTGAATAAAATTATCAAGACTTTATGTACTTTCTATGAAAAATAAAATACTAGTCTTCATAACCCAAATAAAGAGTAGTATAATGGGATGTTAGATAATACAAATTTGACTTTGTTTATTTAAAACAACAAAGTTCCTTGGGGACTGAGGGGTATCTATTATGCAGTTACAAGCTTTACTTTTCCCCATCTTCTGATGTGGATCCCTCCTCTAAATAAAGGTTAAAAGAAGATTTCTGTAAATAATAACTTACAAGTCTGAATCTTTACCATCTCTTCCATGTTAACTACATTTCTTTGACTTTACGTTATAAACAGTGGTTTTTATTAGAACAAGTAATGAAATAATACTATGTGGCAGCTGTTTTCGGGAGCAAAGGATAATGACAATGCAATGTAGACCGGTTAGGTTTGAATGGGGGGAAGTTCTGTGATATTAAACTGCTGTGTCTACTAACTTTTGATTCTAGGAAAACCGGGTCCCAAATTGGTGTAAAGAGTGAAGGGGAATGTAAGAGCAGTAATCCAGAGCAGGTGAGGTCAAATGTCAGTGTGATGGGAAATCCTGGGAGGCTAACTTCAAATAGGAAGTAGGTGCTCTCTTCTTCCTTCTTAGGTGGGAGACTTGGAAGGAAGTAATTCTTGCTTTATGTGAAATGGAATATCCGGTACTGCCCACTAATATGAAAAAGCTAATTATAGTCTCTGAAACTGGATCAGATTACTTTGGTGGTTAGACCTTTCAATCTATTTCTGCTTTCTATTAAAGAGAAGAAGAAGAAATAAAAGGGAAACTACATACGCAGTACACTTCAGTCATTTAGCCTGAGTTAAAACCCTAGCAGTGTCACTTGCTGTTTGGAGAACTTGGACAAATTACTTAACGTAAAATGAGATTTGAACTAAATAGATTTTTTTCTATGATACAATTTTGTGAGCCTGTGATGGTAGGGGAAGGGGAAGGAAGAAAGGATCTCATACATGTCACACTTGTCTTTTTCCAGGTGAATGATTTTCCTAATTTTCAAGGTCTAATGGCCTTTTTATAAGCTTCCAGAGCACCTGAGGTTACTTCTACCAAGTCATTTAGCATCATGCTACTTTAAATGTCTCTTTTTATCATCTAGGAGATTGGGAGCAAGTTAATGGCAAGGACTGTGCTCTGTCTGAGTTCTGGCACACAGTGGGTTAGCTGTTTACTAAATAAATGAATAAACAAGTAAAAAAGTTTTTTATTTAACCACATGAATTATAGAGTACTTGCTGAGCTACATCTACACATGAGCTACATCTACACAGCTGGTACTGCTCTAAGTGGCCCACAGCAATGTCAGCGGGACTGAGTTCTATAACAGTTCTGAAAACAGTGTTATCAGCATTACAATCTTGGTAACTTTCCAGTTCTTTTCCCTGTTCTTCAGGATGTATGCAGTGCTTTTCGGCCCTTTGTTAAAGATGGAAGACTTGGATGCACAAGGGAAAATGATCCTGTTCTTGGTCCTGATGGGAAGACACATGGCAATAAGTGTGCGATGTGTGCTGAGCTATTGTAAGTAGCGTCTTCCCCTGGTGGACTTGATGATGATGCTCTTGGTTGCTGCCCTGAGAATCGCTCTGCAGGGAGATAAAATCCTTTTCATGAAGCATGCAATTCTTTGTCTTTACAATGTAAAATAGCCTTTCTCACAGAATGGCTTCTTTTCTTTTTCTTCATATCACTGATTGAAGTTTCTTAAAAGGAGAGAATAAGGTGGCAAGTTAGTTATTAAATTCAAGACTCTTACTTCTTTTAAATTACAGTAATTTGAAAATGCATAGTGTTTTATAAGGCACAATATTTTAAAATTTAGAAAGCACTTTCCTACGGAATGATCTAGGTCAGTCATTTGACATCCATTGCTTCATTTGGGCATATGTAGAGACCCTTCCTGAGTAATGTGAGGCTAATTAAAATAATAATAGTAATAATGCCATGTGTTTGAATCTATTTATTAGTTTAAAAGGTGGAACACAGATCATTATGAAAGGAAGGACTATTGGGTTAATCTTTATCTGAGTGCCTGGCAGTGCTTGGACATTGAAGAGGCAGATGTGGATAAGATCTAATTAGTCTTTCATATTCTGGCTGTTAAACAATGTTTAGATTATCTAATTCATGTGCCAGCAGGCCTTAAATTGCCATATTTACATCACTAGAACTTTAAAATCAGGACAGAGATTTAACTGATTAATAAACGTCACACCTGCCTTTGAAAATTACAGTTAGTCCTTGTAGAATTCAAGGACATGTCCATTCAGGTTTACAAAACGGTGATGATAACTGGTTTCCGGACAGGAAATCAGCCTGATTTCCACTTTCTTATCTAGGAGACATGTTCTCTCAGTGTTCAAATCTGTCCTAATTCTGTTTTTTTTTTTTTAAATGCATTATGTGAAAAGGGAAATTTGACTTCTCTAACTCCTGGTTTCTTCCTCTGGGGAACTGAGATAGCCACACCTATCTCCAGGATGAGATGCTAATCAAATGATAGACGTGAAAGGGCTTAAAGCTCAATTCAAATGTAGCTTTCATTAACAACTTAATATTTTTACATGAAAGCAAACAAATACTTTACAAGGTATACAACGTTATACTTAAGGGTGTGGATGGCAATGCCTCAAACGCTCAGTTTGGTTTCACCCTTGTCACAGCATTATTTTAAAGCTCTTGGTTCTGCCTGTTAAAGGGAATTTTCCTGACAATCTTCTGTTTGTCAATCAAGGTGTCACACCCATTCAGTTTTACAGAACAAAGCTTCGAATTGACTGTCAGCGAATCAGTTTCACACCCTTTCTTACTATAGGCAAGAAAGCTAATTTACAGAAAGCAAGTTTCCCAGATCCACTATTGCTGTCTTTCTTTCTTTCCTTATCTTTGGCAATTTCTCTGGCTCAGGCATTGAAGACAGGGAAATGCTTGTCTCTTGTAAGTGGATCATTTTCAGCAAGTCGTAGCAGAGGATATGAAAGTGTTTAGCACAGGACTGAGGATACTGAAAATATGATTGAGTCATAAACTGACCAACTGTTTACTTTTCTTAACAGTTTAAAAGAAACTGAAAATGCCAAGCGACAGGGTGAAACTAGAATTCGACGAAATGCTGAAAAGGTAAAATGACTCACCAACACAATTTCGTTCTTGTGGCCATAAATATTAACAAATTTATGCCTAAACCTTTAAGTAATGAAATAAAGTCATTGTCTTTTATTATTATATATTTTTTTAATATCAAAATTCCCCAAATTGACTGTTCCTAGAATATTAATCATTAGATTCAGATTGAAAACAGCATTTCCTACCTAAGGCCCAAAATGTGCAATTTCCACCCGTGTTTCTCCATTCCTCCAGCCCCCAAAAGAAGGTATAAGATAGAAAGTTTATACAAACCAAACTCTGCTTAATTTCTAGCAGCCTTCTTTTTGGTTTAGTGTGAACCCATTTTACTCTGAATAAATTGTTTAAAAGTGACAATATAATATAAATTAAACAGGAATAATTTTAAAATTGTGACAGTCTTTTAAACACTATATCCACTAGTGCATTTTATGTGTAATTAAATTGACACAAGTTGAAGTTATTAACTTTTCCATTGTGATTATTCTGTTCAGAAAAACCTGCACTTACAAAGGTCTTGGTTCTGCTAAAAAAAAAAAAAAAAAAAAAAAAAAAAAAAAAAAAAAAAAAAATAGATTGTGTTTTAAACAATATCCTTAAAATTATTTTTTTGAAATTACTCCATAATTTAATTATTCAATCTAGTATAAAATGTTTTGAATAAGCACTTTAGGTAATATAGCCTGGATTTCTTAAATCACCTACTTTCAATGAGAGGGATAGCAGTTTCTTTGCTAAATGGCTAACCTCTTGTTGAGAAGTCAGAACACTTGAGTTTTAACCTTGGTTTTGTCATGCTGTGGGTGTGGGAGACTAAATAAATAATCATCCTGGGCCTTAATTTCCTTGTCAGCAAAATAAAGAGGTTGGATAAATGACCTGAATTTTACCTTCCTGTTGGACTGTGATTCTACATCCTGCACACTTTTGTGCTAATACAAGTGCACTCCTTTTTGAAGATTGTAGGGCTTATGTTTTCCTAAAGGAAGAAACAAGACCACCTTTTGGTAGTCAAGAACTAGCCCTTCAGTTCGTAATGCTTATTTAATGAAGCAAAGCGCTCACCCTAAATAGGGTGTTACAGGTTTACATTTAGGAAAACTAAGTATTCAGAACCATCTACAGTTTATGCAACACTTGCCAAAGATTGAAAAGGAGTTCTTTTGTGGTGGTTGTTAAATTTCAGTCTAAAACTTTGGGTCATCCAGTGATAGTTAACATTTTATTGCTTCATAAACACAGAGAGTTATTTTCCTTTGTTTTTCATCAGGTCTCTCTGTGCTTCCCTCTTCCTCTCTGTGGCTAGGGTCATTGTTTTGTGGGGTCACTGGGCACGATGGTGTGAACAGGACTGCTTTATTGTGATGGCTCAATATGTTCCCTATAATTAACTTGTCACTAGGTTGCATACACAGTGTTTCTTCAGAATCTCCTTGGATGAGTCACAACTTATAAACTGAAATTATCATTGTTTCTTTTATGAGAATCATTGAGCATTAATTTTGTATACCATGCTATGACTATCAGGTGACTGTCTTCTGCGTCTCTATTTCTAGATTGTTACAACCATGACGCTTGGAGCACATCCATTGCTCCTCCAAAAATAAATACCTTCTTAATAGGAAGCAGTTAGGATTCTCTGTTAAAGCATCCCAATGGAAGTTGAATTTTTTTTTTAAAAAAAACAAAGAATGCTAGATCTAGAAAAGATCCTACAGAGCATCTGTTACAAAAACCTCATTGTAGAAGTAGTAACATTGTGTTTCCAAAGAAGGGACTTTACTGTGGTCTCCCAGTTGGGTGAGAGGCACAGTGGCCCAGGTTGTTTGACTCCTAGCCATGCTCTTTATGCCCATGTTTTCTTGCCTGAAATGGAATGATGAAGGTCACACAGTTGAAAAGAAAGTTATAGACCAGGACTTTTTGTAGGTCATATTGTAGTACTATATCCCACCACAAAATGTTTAATGACATAGAGATCCCCAAGCCTAGAGTAGCTTAAAGTATCATTTTTTTTTTTTTTGTAAAGTTTAGCCCTTATCATATAGTAGAGCTTTCAAAACACAGAAAGTAGCCTGAAAGTAGTGAACCAAAGCATCAGGAAATCTGAAAACAAATCTTTCTTGGATTTTTTATTTTGGGGGGTGGGAGAGTCACTCCTTTTTTAGCTCTTCTAAACCAGTATCAGTCTTGATGATCTATCCATCTAAGGTGAGGGTGAAAGGAAATTAGATGTACTGTCTCTCTACAATGTCAGAAATGATCATGGATAAAGAAGGCAGAATACACAAAAATTATCCACAGATCCATAGAGAAAATCAACTAAAGTAAGCGTAACACTGTTGGATAGCATCTTGTTTCTTTATACTTACAAACTAGGTTGAATTATTCTTGACTTGATCCATATTAAGTCACTTTTAGACATCTCATCTTCTCACAGTTGTTTGTGTGTGTGTGTGTGTGTGTGTGTGTGTATGTGTGTGTGATTTGGCTGCTGCGTTTTGTTGTGTTTGTGCTGGAACCTCATGAAAGAGATCCCCGGATGCCTACTGATTTGAAAGTTAAAAAGAAATACCCAGTTTTAATCCAAGAAAACTCTTGATCAGCCTTATTTTTTCCAAGGCTCTTTTTTACCTTATAATAAACATACCACATAATGCATACAAGTGCCAAGTAGTTGACAATATAATTACTATTTCTTAGTAGTTCTCATTAATATGTTGTATGTATTTGCCAACTTCTAGACTTGATGTTTTGTGGTAATAAATCTATTATAAAGTCTCTAGGTTAAAAAGTAGAAAAATGGTAAATAAAATTACGTGTTAACTTGATGTGGTGGTTCACGCCTATAATTTCAACACTTTGGGAGGCCAAGGCAGGAAGATTACTTGAGCCAAGGAATTCAAGACCAGCCTGGGCAACATGATGAGATCCAGTCTCTACCAAAAAAGAAAAAAAATTAGCTGGGTGTAGTGGTGCATGTCTGTAGTCCCATTAATTAGGAAGCTGAGGTGGGAAGATCTCTGAGCCTAGAGGTTGGAGGCTTCAGTGAGCTATGATCATTCCCCTGCACTCCACCAATACAGCAAAATCCTGTCTCAAAAAATAAAATATCCTGAAATGAAATGAAGTAAAATAAATATAATTGTCTTTTCAAAGGATTTTTGCAAGGAATATGAAAAACAAGTGAGAAATGGAAGACTTTTTTGTACACGGGAGAGTGATCCAGTCCGTGGCCCTGATGGCAGGATGCATGGCAACAAATGCGCCCTGTGTGCTGAAATTTTGTGAGTATAGAAGCAGTTTTTTCAGAGTGACTCAAAAGGTCGAAGTGTAGATTGATTGAATTGATGAGTAAAAATAACTTTGAAAGGAAGCTTTGTTGTTGAGAACCATTTGAGCTGATTTATATCCTCCACAAATCATAATGCCACCTAGTGAGTAGGTGCTACTGATGTTTGTCTATTTCTGAGGACAAACGAATTCCATTTTCCTGTTGAAATATTGACTTACAACATACTTCTTAACATTCGCCTGTGACCTTTGTGAATCTCTTTGTGAACTAATTCTAGTGTAGAATAGAGGTAAAAGCAGGTACCAAGACTTTGTTTTTCTTAAGTAATTATCCCATAGTAATAGTGTTGATGGAACACTCTTAGATACTTCAGGTTTATAGATTAATTGGATTACTCTTATCTTTTTATCTGGGACATATGACCTTGAGAGAAGGGCAGATCTCACAACATACAAATTATCGCATTTATGAAGATATCTTAGATGACATCTCATGACACTTCCGGCTTCTCCAGCTCTACAAGCCCTTTCCTGTGTCCTGTCCTATGCCAGTTCCTCCCAGTCTTGGCCAGCTGATGTCCCCTCCTCTTGTAGGTTACATTTCAGATTATCTTTCCTTGGATAAGAACTCCTAAAGTCCCTCCCTAATTGAAACTAAATTCTCATAATCCTTAGTAATTGTCTTTTATAACCACATCACAGTTGGCAATTATACAATTATTTCTCCAAGTATTTGTTGACTTTCAGTCTCGTCTACCAGCCTCAAGAACTACAAGAGGGCAGGGTATGTGTTTGTATTATATACTCCTTCATGCCCAGGGCCCAGCCAACGCATACCCAAAAAACCATAGTTACTCAGTAAATGATGAGTGAATGAATGAATGAAGATGTGAATGAGGATACCCCACTCTCAAAAAGCTTAAATTCAGTAGCAGAAATAAACCATGGACATGTGCACATATTTATATATTGCAAAATAGAATAAAAACCATTGCATAAGAGAAGACTATTCAGATACAAAAACACAGCAATACATGTAGAACTCATTTGTATTTGGGAACTGGAACGTCTTCTTCAAAAAGGTAGAATTTAAGCTGAAGAGTTTTAAATTTCTTTTAAGAAAGAAAGATGAGAAAAAAGATCATTTAGTGGAAGGAAATGGTATAAAGGTGAAATTAAAGGGTCTTTTTGGGGATTTGAGGTGTTTTTAAAGTGTTTGTACTAAAACTCAGGACAACTTAGATGTTTTCCATCTGTACCTAATGACTGTTTTGTAACGTGAAGATCGGAAGCCTCTCTACTCATATATTTTATTTTTTCCAGCAAGCGGCGTTTTTCAGAGGAAAACAGAAAAACAGATAAAAATTCGGGGAAAGCTGAAGGAAAAACTGAAGTTAAAAGAGAAATTTTGGTGAGAATCAGTTTGATCAATCTAGTTACAACTTGTGTGTGTGTGGGGGGGGTGTGTGTGTGTGTGCGCGGGGTATGTGTGAGTGAGAGTGCATATTATGTAGTATGCATTTTCAATATTGTTTAATATTTTCCACACTACTAGTAGGTTTACTGGAAACTAATTTATAGTTATTGTTTTATGAAACTTAGATTTAAAAATTATGGCATTGCAATTTCTAGCTGTGTATGGAGGAAATTAATCAAGTCACATTAATAATATAGTTTTGCACTCGTAAATGAAGGTGATATATCAAAACATTGAATTCAAAGTGTGACATGTATTCTTCAATGTGTGGTAGCTATTGTGAAGGTATTTATTTAAAAAACAATATCAATTTTGAATTTTAATGTGCTTCCTTTTAAATTATACTGTGCTCTGCTTTCTAAGCATCTTTTAACTAGCCACCTGTCTGTTTTTCTACTGCTACCCTCTTAGCTCAGACACTTAATAGTTTTCTTTTGCATTGATGTATTGGCATCGTGCCTGGTCCGTACACTGTCAGTCTCCATCTTTCTCAATCTTCAAGATTTAATTCATCCTCCATGTAGTGTTCATATTTCATAGAATATGAAAACAAGAAACTATGGTTCCACCTGTCAGTGATGCTATAAAATTCCAATGTTTGAAGATATTCTAGAGTATATTCAGATCATTTCACTTCCTATAGAAACCCTAACTTATTTCTTACAGACAGTTTTCCAGACTTCTATTATGTGCAGTCAACAGATCTCCTAAGTAAGCCACTCCATCAGGCCACCTTCTTCCTGTGTAACTCCTTCCTTCCTTCCTTCCTTCCTTCCTTCCTTCCTTCCTTCTTTCCTTCCTTCCTTCCTTCCTTCTTTCCTTCCTTCCTTCTTTCCTTCCTTCCTTCCTTCCTTCCTTGCTTGCTTGCTTGCTTTGACATTTTATTTCTTTTTTTTTCTCTGTCACCAGGCTGGAGTGTAGTGGTGGGATCATGGCTCACTGCAGCCTTGACCTCCCACTCTCAAGCTATCTTCACATCTCAACTTTCCAAAGGGCCAAGATTACAGGCATGAGTCACTACACCTAGCCTAAGCCTCATTTTGAACTGCTTTCTTCCCCTTGGTCCTAGGTTATCAAGTCCTTTTAATTTTAATACTCAAATATCTGTCAACTACTATTTTATCATTTTTTCCAATTTTTCTCCTTCCTTTCCTTTCTTCCTTTTCTTTCTCCTTTTTATTTTTCTCCTAATCTATCTCTCTATTCTCTTTTCCTCCCTCTTTCTCTTTCTCTCTTTTTTTATAATATAATTAGTGTCTCTAACTTCATTCCCTGGTCAATCAAATCCTCCACACATCTGGTTGATAATCTTTGTAAAACAAAGATTTGAATTTGCCATTTTCTTCTATAAACATTTATAATTTTCCCATTGCCTAAAAGTAATATCCAAATTCCTTTCAAAGTTTAGTGGTCTTCGATTTTCAAGGTCTCCTTTTGACCATTTCCCAAATATTCTTCTCTTTATCCAACTAATTATTTAGCCACTATATTCATAAATATGTTAGTTACCTAAAAATAACATGTTCTTTCATGCCTCTGTGTGTTTATCCATTTAAATCCTCTTGGATGGCCTTTTTACCACATTATGTTCCCGAATATATTCTCAAGATAGAACTTAGACACAAGTTCTCTGAATGTCCATGAATTATTTTTTCATTGTACTTGTATACTCTTATTTCATACTAGTGTTATATTTCTTAACTTTTTATATTATACTTACTTATCCTTTCCATTTGACTAATAAAGAACATAAATATAAATAAATCCTATTTCTATTTATATATTCCTAACTTAAACATTTGTTGAAGATGTAAATGGATATTACAAGGAGAGAAATATCACAATTTTTGGATGGTCTTAAATATTAAAAGTTTTATTTTTCATCCTTAATTTCTCTTTTTCAATTTCTTTGTAAAATAACATTTAACATTCACACATAGAAAACAGAACTGTATCTAAACTTTTTCATATTCATTATTCAGAAACTCTGCAGTGAATACCAAAATCAGGCGAAGAATGGAATACTTTTCTGTACCAGAGAAAATGACCCTATTCGTGGTCCAGATGGGAAAATGCATGGCAACTTGTGTTCCATGTGTCAAGTCTACTTGTGAGTATAGATTTTTTAGAATGTCAAAGAAAGAAGGGATCTTGCAGGTAATTTAATAGAAACAGCTTGTTTCGTAGATGGGGAAACCGTGGCTCAAGACAGGGAAGTGAGTTGAATATGTTACATGGAAAAGATGAGTAATAAAGCTGGGAGTAAGTACCTAGAGTTGTTGGTTGTAAGAAGCCTTGTTCCTCTGGCACTCCCTCTTTTAGCACTGGAATGTCCTGGCAAACATGAACTTGTACAAATATTAGTTGCTCCCTTGCTCCTGAAACTTCACATGTTAGCTAGCCTGTTTTAGCAATTTATAGGTATCTCATCTTCCATGGGAGTTAAGAGTCCAAAGGTCGTGCTTAGTGTAGAAATGGAATAAAGTCAAATTTCCCATGAAACAACACAAAACTCCTATAAAATTACAATGGGTATTATTTTATGTAATGTAACCTTTCTCAAAAAGTTAGAATGGACAGTTTTCTTTCAAAATTTAAGAAACCTCTTACTTTTTTTTGGCTGAGCTCAAATTAAATATTTAACTTACATTTAGAATCTATGGCTTTTTTTGTTTTGATTGACAACTACATATGGTTGTAATATCACCAGTTAACTGCACATACTGTGCAATTCCATTGTACAAAGCAAATTTAGGCTTATTTGTTTTATCAGTATATGGAAATTATTGTGTTTTTTTTTTTTCACATCTTGTCCTTTAGATGAAACAGCTATGAGTAAGCAAAATATTTAAGCTTAAAGCAAAGCTAGGGTACACATGGCGTGGTAGATAGACCATGGTCTTGAGGAAGAAGACTTTGGTTGTAGTCATATCCTGAGATGTAGCCAAGGCCCCCACTACCTCTCATCTTCTCTAATTAACAAGGGGATGAGTAGATGTGCTTTGTTAAGGCCACTTTCAGCCTTCAGGTTATGTCACCATGATTTTAGTTTCAATGCCTCTGTTATGAACATTAATGATGCTCCCTTTCTTAGTATAGGCAAGAAAGCTAATTTACAGAAAGCAAGTTTCCCAGATCCACTGTTGTTGTCTTTCTTTCAACATTAAAAAGACACTTTGAAGAAATAATAGCACCATACTATCCTGGAGGATATTTTGTTGCTTCTCATTGATACATAGTGATAAAGGGACAAAATTGCTCCAGTCTAAGGAGGGAGAACAGTTAACAGTGCAAGGATGTGGAGAAATCATGGCATGTGTTTGTTCCTAACGGATCTGCTTCTTTTTCCCTCTTATTCAGCCAAGCAGAAAATGAAGAAAAGAAAAAGGCTGAAGCACAAGCTAGAAATAAAAGAGAATCTGGAAAAGCAACCTCATATGCAGTGAGTGGAATCCATCCGAAAAATCCTACTTGGTGCTATAATTTGAACAAATTTTAAGAGCCTAAAGGGTGAGATTTTGCCCTGCAGAAATCCCCAGAATGTCTTAACTCTTCAATCTGGGGATGATATTGAGATAATTTATATGGGAAGATTGATCTATTCTTGCTGATTCAAAACTAACTCTGCAAAAAAAAAAAAAAAAAAAAAACCAAAAAAAAACGCACACACAACAACAAAAAAAACTATTGTTTAAAAGCTGAAAAACTGAGTTGCACTTCTAGTTTTATCACTTACAGAATGTTAGCTTTTGCCAACTACTTTCCAGAGAAATTCTACATGTATGCTTTCTACATAAGAGTTTCTGATATTTCATGTCTAATTTGATATAAAAATACCTTGATTGCCCCCCAAAGCATGATTTTTATCCCTGAAATATTACAATATTAGTTTCCAAAGCCTTAGCTCAGTTATCATCCCCAATGGTTTTGATGATAAAAGTCTCCTAACTTTCCCTCTGGATTCTATCCTTTCCCTTGTCCAACCAATCTCCCTAACATAGTTTGAGTAACTTTCAAAATGTAAATAAGATCATAATATTGCTCTGCTTAAAACCCACAAGCAGCTCATACAGGATATGCTTTAATCCCATTATCTCTCCTCTTATTTGTACCCTTATCTCCATTCAGAAAATCATGCTCTGCTATGTGCCATGGCTTTTCCTACCTGTGTTTTTCAGCTAATTTTATTTTCATAAACCTGTGTGCATATTTCCCAATTCATTTTTTTCACTCAGTCAAATCCTATTTACACTTCCACAGTCTCACCTAAGTTGTTCTTGCTCCCTGACATCTTCCCTGGTTTCCACAGTCAGATTTCATGGTTCCAGCCTATGAGTTCTCAGATTTCTTGTACCCTGTATGTTTGTACTTATTTTATTCTGTTTAGATTATAGTGGAATTTGCTTACATATTGCATATATTACATTGAGACATTGTACTATGTTTTATTTTTTCCTATCTCTTAGCATATGATGTTTTTCTTGTTGTTGAATTGGATTTTACATCTGAGAAAAACACAGTTAAAATCCTCCGCTCAAGGAGCTGTAACATTAGTTTCTGCCAATGCAGATGTTTGAACCTTCTGCTTTAAGTAGAAATGAAATATATGGCCACCTTACTTCTTCTGTCTTGGCAGGAGCTTTGCAGCGAATATCGAAAGCTTGTGAGGAATGGAAAACTTGGTTGCACCAGAGAGAATGATCCTATCCAGGGCCCAGATGGGAAAGTGTATGGCAACACCTGCTCCATGTGTGAAGTCTTCTTGTGAGTAGCCCTGCAGCTGGAAACATGAGGAATGATTTTGTTCTTTCTATTTCATTTCCATGTTCAATCATGGGAGGGCCACTTCAACATGAGAATGAAAGAAATAAAGAATATTTAGAGAAACTGTCTGATTGGAGACATGTATTTGAAAATCCATGTCCTTTGAAGATTGTTAAGACTTCACACTTAAGCAAGGAGACAGTCACAATCTTGAAATATTCAAGTAGTTTTGATTTTTAAGTGTGGAAACAGGACAAGTTCTAACTTATCTCCATGAATAAAAGTGAGGCCAATGGACCAATGGATGAAAGCTCTGGAAGACAGGTTCCAACTGGACCCCAGGAAGAACTTCCTAACACTCTGAGGATTTCAAAGATGGATGATTTACCATGGAATTCCAAGGATGATATAAGTACAGGCTTTACAGGCAGATTAAAGCAAACGCTTGAGAGTCATCAGAGATACAGTAATGAGCGCTGGAAATTTAGAAAGCCATCTCTGGACTAGGGTTTAAATCCCAAGTCTGTGCCTATTATTTCTACATCTTCAGGCGAGTTATGCATTCTGTCTGTCAGTTTATTTGTATGCTGGGGCTACAATAGTAGTTTTATAATGCGATTGTGAGGATTTCACAGTGCAAGCACGGGGTTAGGCACATCACATTGAAACAATTTAATCATAGTTAAGTGTAAAATTAAATTACATTTGAGATCACTTCTAATATGGAGATTTGATGATTTTTACTCATCTCTTCTTAACCATCCTTTTTTAGCCAAGCAGAAGAAGAAGAAAAGAAAAAGAAGGAAGGTGAATCAAGAAACAAAAGAGAATCTAAGAGTACAGCTTCCTTTGAGGTGAGTGTATCTTCTCCAACAACTCAGAGGGATATGGCCCTGAGGCTCCACAGATCATGTTCAGGGAACACGTACATTCCTTAAAACTGTATGAAACAATTGTACAGTTTGTGTTTTCATGTGTGTTTGCATGTGTGCAGTTATACATATGCATATCTGACTATTTCTTGGTTGATGGGTTCATTGTTTTTATCACTTAAAAAAATCCATGCCTTCAAAGTTAATCATTCTAAAATAAGCCAATTGCTAATCCTCATTTAAGAAAAAAAGTACAAGCTTTAGCTATTTTTGCAATCTAATTCAACCCATGTTCAACACCTTCAACTTCCCTCCTTAATTTCACAGGAGTTGTGTAGTGAATACCGCAAATCCAGGAACAACGGACCACTTTTTTGCACCAGAGAGAATGACCCCATCCAGGGCCCAGATGGGAAAATGCATGGCAACACCTGCTCCATGTGTGAAGTCTTCTTGTGAGTAGAGCAGTAGCCCCATAGCATCTGAGGATTGAGCAGTGGGAATTTTCATGGGAAGTTTTCAAACCATTGTGAATAATACATGTTCTTCAGTGTAGCTTTCAGTTTTGGGCGTCATATTTAAATGGACTAAAAACAAACAACAGCAACAATAAAACAAGTGGAGCGCTTTCTATTATGATGTAAAGAGATACACAATAAGCCAGACACAGAAAAACGTATAATGTGTGACCTCTCTTATATGTGGGATCTAAATAAAGCTGACTAATAGTAGAGAGTAGGATGGTGCTTACCAGAGAATGAGGGTAGGTGAGGGTGAGGGTTGGGAATGAGGAAATGTTAATCCAAGGGTGTGAAGTTTTAGTTAAGCAGGAGGAATAAGTTTATAGGATGTATTGGACAGCATGGTGACTACAGTTAATAATAATGTATCATATATTTCAAAAATATTAAAAATGTAAATTATAAATGTCCTTACACCTTCCCAAAAAAGATAAGTATCAAGAGACAACTATGTAAATTGGTTGATTCAATCATCGCAATGTATGCATATACCAAAACATTACACTGAATTCAATTAATATGTACAATTATTATTTGTCAAGGAAGAACACAAGTTAAAAAAGTGAAGTGCAGAATAATTTCTTCTATGGCATTTAAAAAGTAACCTAGAATCATTCACCCAGAGAAGAGAATACTTCATGATAACTACACTAATTGCTTTTAGTCTTTTGAAAACATTCTCAGATGAAATAGGAAATACATATGATTACATGTAAAATATTACAATGCATGGAAAATTTATGAAATTTTTTGTTCACTATCTTTCTTCCTACTTATTCTATGTAATTTTAAGGAATATAATTAAAATAGAAAAGAGCTATGGGAAGAAAGATTTGGGCTCATGATGAAGATTGACTTTGTAATAAAGCAGAGAAAGACAAGAATGGAGATTTTATTATGTAGGAGTTGGGAGTCTATTTATAGGGTGCCTAAAATAGGTCTTTAGAATGAATGTCATGGTATGGCTGGCCCTTCAAAAGTGTGACTAGGCTTTTCTTAAACTCTTGATTTTTGACTAAAAATAACCCCAGTTTATTTCCCATGTGCCAAGAATCTTGGAAAGGACTTAATTTATTTAGTCTTCCCATATAGAAAGTAATATAATCCAGTATATTTTCCCATAGCATTTGAGGCTTGGAGCACTAAAAATCTATTAGAAGGAAAATTAAGATGATGATCATATAATGATCACAGCAAATGTTGAATGCATATAATTATATGACACTTGCTAAGAACTTTGCTACCTAATCTCACTTAGTCTTCACAACAACCACATGAAATAGATGAAACCAGATAAAAAGCAAAAACAAAAACAAAACTAAGGCCCAGAACAGTTAAGAATGATGGAAAAGTCAGGATAGGATATGGGACTTATAGATGAAGAAAAAGTTAATGTATTTCTTGATGTGGGATATAATCACTTAGCAAGGCCTTTCAACATGTTTTTTGTTCTCCCTTACATTAATCTTTCAGTAGCAGGAAACTAATTCTGCCACTTAGTGGTTATCTTTGCTGCTTCCTCTGACAATTTTCCATTGAAGAAAGAAAATGCTGTTTAAATGTTTTAGTCAACTTAGACTTGTGATAAAGGTTAGATCAGTTTTCATATAAAGATGTATGAACAATCCCATAATTTTGGATCTATTTTAGTCAGTTTATTTCATAAATATATAAATTCTTTATTGAAAAGAAATAACCTTTATCACCTCATGTTTTATAGATATGTTAACAAAGGTGACTGATTTTTTTGAGAATTATTCTGTTTTTCACACTTTCATACCATGTGAAAAAAATCTTTTCAATTTTCAAAAAGTTTTAGTTTGATCTATGTGCAAGTCTTTTGTTGATTGGGACACATTAAAACATTTTCACAAATTATGTAATTTTTTTCTACATTTTGAACTATTTGTGTTATCTATCTAATTATGTTGTAGATCCAATCCACGAAGCTCAATTTGCAACACTGTTAGTTATCCAAAATGTAACAGCTATCACTTTCAGTTCATTTCCATCATATGCCTAGCTTTGGAAGGAAAGTTTCCTTTCAATAATGACAATAATGATGATGTCAAACCCTTATAACAATTGTACCAATTATTTTATTATGTACCAGGTATTGTTCTAATTGCATTACATGTAGCAACTCATTTAATGTTCATAACATTCCAATAAGAAAGGTACTTTTATTACCTCTTCTATTTCTCCTTCACACACACTTAAAGATGAGGAAAGCACAGAGAAGTTAAGGTACTTCTTGTTTTCCTTATAGAATTTGGCTCCAGGGTCTTTCTTCTTAACCACCACACTATACTGCCTCTCAGAAGATAAAGAGAAAATATTACCTCTCTATAAAGAGTAATCACACATGCAAAAGAATCAGCAAATAAGAAATTCCTATTGCAGTACATACACTGGGAAGTTAAACAGGTTTACTCCCTAATTCAGGGGCTTTCTCTTGCACACCATTCCCTTGAGGTAGAGTAAACCATAATTGTTTATTGTCTAATAAAATTATAAATTACTATGGGTGGATATTTGGCATTGTTTGAGAATAGTCAAAACAATAAATGATCAAGCTATGAAAGTTAAGGATCTATTCTACTATATAAAGATCCATTTCTGGCCGGGCACAGTGGCTCACACCTGTAATCCCAGCACTTTGGGAGGCTGAAGCAGGCAGATCATGAGGTCAGGTGTTGGAGACCAGCCTGATCCACATGGTGAAACCCCATCTCTACTAAAAATACAAAAAAATTAGCTGGGCATGGTGGCACGTGCCTGTAATCCCAGCTACTCAGGAGGCTGAGGCAGGAGAATGGCTTGAACCCGGGAGGTGGAGGTTGCAGTGAGCCGAGATCGCACCACTGCACTCCAGCCTGGGTGACAGAGTTAGACTTCATCTCAGAAAAGAAAAAAAAAAACAGCAAAGATCCATTTCTTCTCTCTTTTTTCTTTTCGGTTTCTTACAGTCAACAAGAAGAAAGAGCAAGAGCAAAGGCTAAAAGAGAAGCTGCAAAGGTAATATTCTCAGGAATGCTGATGCTGTGTCCTGACGTTTTTCATTTCTTTATAATTCTTTACTTATCTCATTAGAGTAAATGTTTTCTGCTTAATTTTCATGCCTGAAACAAATGAAGAACATTTTTAACCTGAAGAAAAAGGGTCTTGCTTAGAAGTGTCCAGGGTACCAATTTTATTTCATAATTATTCAAATTTTGAGGTTTATTTCATAAAAAGTGGAGTGTTAAGTATTTGTAATGAATTTTCCCCATATTTGGCTTTTATTAGATTTCTCTTGTTAGAGTATTAACTTATGCCATTTACTAATTTCAATTTACATTATTCATATCTCTGTTATTTGAAATAGAGAGTATAAGATCTCAATCATTCTAATTTACAAAACAAAAGCACGTATATTATCATATTTCAGCTTTGTCACCACCCAGTTATGGAGCAAGTAGTAGTTTTCTTGCACCCAATTAAGTTCATTAAGTAGGGCCTCTGACTTTCCAGTTATTTTTAGTCCACTCTCCATGCTTTTATAATTTTATGCATAGCAGAGCCAATTTTATCTGTGTGGAAATGTTGAATTATTCTCATGTAATAGCTACATACAAGATTTCTTTCTTTATTCCCTTCCTTCTTTCCTTCCTTCCTTCCTGCCTCTCTTTCTTTCTCTCTTTCTTTCTTTCTCTTTCTTTCTTTCTTTCCTTCTTTCTTTTGTTGAGATGGAGTCTTGCTGTGTTGCTCAGGCTAGAGTGCAGTGGTGCAGATCTAGGCTCACTGCAACCTCCACCTCCCAGGTTCAAGTGATTCTCCTGCCTCAGCCTCTCTAGTAGCTGGGGTTACAGTCGCTTGCCACAACGCCCAGCTAATTTTTTTTTTTTTGTAGTTTTAGTACAAACGGGGTTTCACCATGTTGACCAGGCTAGTGTGAAACTCCTGACCTCAAGTGATTCACTCACCTTGGCCTCCCAAAGTGTTGGGATTACAGGTGTGAGCCACCGCACCCGACCTGTTTATTCTATTTCTTAATGATAACCACAACAGTATACACCTCATCATTACTTGGGGAAAAGTTGACACAGTTTAAAATTTACCTTCTTACTGACTCATTTTTTTTTTTTAATAAGTGTTTCTGCTAGGTGAAACTATCTTTTCATTGATCATTTATAATTGAAAATTTGTTTTCATCCATTATGTTTGATCAGCTGCCAAATCCTCTTAGATATTTCCAGTGATATTAACATATTCCCCCTTCTCTCCACTCCTATTTTTACCTCCTTGCTTCAAATCCACATCTCCCATTGCTAGTTTTTAATTTTTTAAAATCAATTTACTCCCAGAAATCTGTCAGTTTCTCCAGGGATCAAACTTATTCTCTTCTCTATTTATAAAGATATGTATTTTTAAATTTATTTATTTATTTTTGAATCAGGTCTTACTTGTTGCCCAGGCTGTAGTGCAGTGGTGCAATCAAGGCTCACTACAACTTCGAACTCCTGGGCTCAAGTGATCCTCCCACCTAAGCCTCATGAGTAGCTGGGACTATAGGCATGCACCACCATGCCTGGCAATTTATTTTATTTTATTTTTATTTTGAATTTTTCTGTAGACAAAGTTTTCCTGTTATGTCCAGGCTTGTCTTGAACTCTTGGGCTCAAGCACTTCTGTGGTGACCTCCTAAAGTCTTGGAATTACAGGTGTAAGCCACCATACCTGGACAAAATATATATGTATTTCTTAGGTTAAACAAGTTTTATTTCCCTTTCTCAGACCCCTAAAGATAAACCACAAGTGAGCAATATTTTCATTTCCTTCAAGGCTTCTCATCTAAGCCTGCCTATGGAATCTTCCCACCTCTGATCTTTCCTAGCTTTTATAGACCATGGTATGCAACACAACACACACATGTATGGTTTTGATGATAAATATTTTCAGATTTGCTATAGTGCCGGGACAATTCTAAGTTGACGACCGAAGCTTTGTAAATACTTACTGATTTACGACTACATGTTATCACTTTTCTTTTTACTTTTTACTCTACATTATGTATTCCTCATAATAGGAAAAGATGCAGGAAGGATAGAAAACTATTCTGAGAAAATATTTTCTTCATTTCCCAGGAAATCTGCAGTGAATTTCGGGACCAAGTGAGGAATGGAACACTTACATGCACTAGGGAGCATAATCCTGTCCGTGACCCAGATGGCGAAATGCATGGAAACAAGTGTGCCATGTGTGCCAGCGTGTTGTGAGTGTCCACCCCATCTCTCCCGCTGAATTTCTTCACCCATGATCGCCCCTGAGTCTCAGATCCTTCATGCATGTGCAGAGTATAGACCATGGGTTATATGTTAGAAAGTTTTAAAAGCAGATGGATGAGACATTAAGTAATATTGGATCATAAAGTGACAATACTATTCTTTATTCAATTATGCTTCTATTTTTTAATTAAGTCAAGGTAAAAGCCTCAGTTTAATGCTTTTTTTTTAAACACTTGATAAACTTCATTTGTAAAAAAGAGAGAGCAGAAGTTTCATGATTTGGATTGGGTGATCTTTTTGATGTCCCTCCCACTCCTGACATTTTATGATTTGTTAGTCTATTCAGATAGGAGCTAAGGAAAAGCCAGCTGGATGGAAGTCTGTGGGATCAGTACATAAAGACTATTAAAATAGCCTGAACAAGAAATGGAATAGGGACGATTGTTATTTATCCTTTCAAGGACATTACTGTATAATGCATACATTCGTAAGTGGCTTAGTGTGGAGTAAAACCTTTAGGAAACGGGTTCATACCCTAAATGTTTACTAAAGCATCTCCCTGTTATGCCAGGTTCAGGGCCTTCTAAGGCCTTTGTTTTGCTGAGTGGTGTAGGTAAGCCTGTGACCACAGCTCCATACTGTGGGACAATAAAGAAGTTAATTATTATCACTTCTAATTCTCTTCCTTTTTAGGTTCTTAATCTGCTCCTGAACTTAATCCTAAAATAAATGCTGAGAAAAAGACTTATTTAAATAATACCTGTTGAGGTGCAAAGTTAATGCCTCCTAACTTTCACATGTCTTGATCCAAACTGAAGTGGATGCATACAATTCCCTAAAAGGAGAGGCTGACAGAGTATAGCACTAGAAGAAAAGTGGCCTGAAATTCAAGAAGCCAGGGTTTTTCTCTCACCCGTTCAATTTGCTGGTGTTGTGGTAATGACTAAATGTAGTAAATGGTAAGGATTTTCCAGCATTAATATGCTATATGTCAGTAGAAAATGGCAAGAATGCCAGAATATTAGGCTTGTGTTCGACCGCCAAAGATTAGCAGTTGAATCTAACTGGACTTGAATCACTACTGCAATCCAAACCTTGAATTTCAACTTCAATATTAACTCCATTGAAATAATATTTAAAATTTTCAGTTTAGAGTAAAACATGGTTTATTATGATTTTAAGCCTGTCATCTGACTTAGCATCACCCTTTGCTTTTATCACTGATATGGTAGTTACTTGGAGAGGAAAAGTTTAACAAGTGAAATAAAATCAAGACAATTGTAGCTTTATTCAGAATGTTAATTAAAATTAGCAACCTATGAAAAATAAGATCTCCTGAGGGCCACAGACTGATAAAGATGCATGCTTGTTTTATAATTATTCCTCTTTAGACGGGGAATGTAAACAACTAAATTTATCTGTACTATTGGTCAAAGCAAAAGCACCTCTTAGACTAGATAAATTTGTATTGAAGACTGAATCTGACTGTTGGTTTGGAAGATCCCCATTCCTTTTAAAAATGTACTTCCAAAAAGAGTAAGGAACCATATTCAGCCTATATCTTCTTTTTCTATTACAGCAAACTTGAAGAAGAAGAGAAGAAAAATAATAAAGAAGAAAAAGGGAAAGTTGAGGCTGAAAAAGTTAAGAGAGAAGCAGTACAGGTAGTTGTTTGAGATCATCAGAGTCACATAAATATTCAGTGATCACTCTCCCTAGGCAGGGCTCCTACTCCCTCCCCATCATTCCAGTATTCTTAGTGACTTTGCAAACTGGGAAAGTGTGTTTGGATCCCCATATACAAGAGTACGCCCCTTTCCTTATTCAATTTATTCTCACTAAATCTATTCATTGCTCGTGCAGTAGAGAGATCAATCACCATGTTCTCCCCTGATTGTGTCAATTATATTACCGAAGAAAGAAGTATATATAGATTGTTATCTTACTGTCTGAATGCAAATTAATAGAGACAGATGTTCAGATTTTTCTCAAGTACATTTTTGAATATGGGTGTTTACCTTAAAAACAGCAACAACTAGGTTTTTATCCCACTTAATTCTCTGTGAGATTTTGAGGAGATAAACGTGTCTCTGAGTCTTGAGTTTGCATTCTTTAACATCTCACATGATGGTGATAACAATGATAATTGTACATTCATTGCTACTGTATGCATCATGGCATAAAGTTTTATGACTGATATTTGTAGTAGCCATTGAAGGTACATATTATTATCTGTATTTTATAGAAGAGGACTTGGAAACTGACATAAGAAGTTAAGAAATATATTTAATTAGTTATATATAATGCAATTATATACTAATATATTATTTACTATGTATTAACATAACTATATGATACAAATAATATCATATATAATTATAATTATATGTAGTTAGTAACTTGAGAACCAAGAATTGAACCACAAGTTCTGGCTTTAAGCCCCATGATGCACATTAGATTTTACATGCTTCTGCCATTTGTATTATTCCTGCAGACTATGCCTTAGGTCCTCATTATTCATTTTTGTCTTTGTGTGATTTAGAAGATCTAATTTCTACTGCTCTTACCTTTGCACTCTACAATCTACTCTCAACTCTTAGCCAAAGTAATTATTTAAAACCATAACGCAGGTCATGCTACCCAGTGACTTCTCATCTCACTCAAAGTAAAAATCAAGGTCCTTGTAGTGTCTGGAAGTGCCATACGCAGTCTGATCCCTGCCACTTTTCACAGGTCACATTTCCTATTATTCTGCATTGTTCTCCATGTGCCAGTTATACTGGCCACCTTTTGGTTTCTTGGACATGCCAAGCATTGATTCATGGCTTTCCATCATGTGGTCACAAAAACAATGTGGTTAGAAAACTGGACTCTAGGCTCAGACTGCCAGGGTTCAAATCCTTGCTTCATTTCCCTACCAGTAAGGTCCTACAGTTAACATCTTTGTATATTAGCTTTCTCACTTATAAAATAAGGACATTATTATTATGTATATTATTTTTATGAAGGCCCAAGAAACTTATTAATGTGTAACAGCACAGTGTCACACATATCTTAAGTAGTCACTCTGTAATATTATATTTATTGCTGTTAATGTCATTATTGGTCTAATCTCATTGTCCAGTGGGGTGTTCCACATTGGACAGTTCACCAATTCTTCAACATACAATGAACTTTACCTTCTGTATTCCATTACTCACAGTCAGAATATCCCTCTTGTCTAAAAAAATTCTGGTCACTTTTCATGGCTCAGATTGTATGTTAACTGCTCCCTAAAGATTTTCCCATTTGTGCAATATACTTAATAACTCTTATCACTTGATATGCCAACAATTTAAAAAATATTTTAGTTATATAATTCATTTTATTATAACTTATAGTTGCCTCTATGTGTTTTCTTCAAAGAAATTAAAAACTCTGTATTAGTTTTCTATGGTTGCTATAACAAATTAGCACACTTTAGTGGCTTAAAACAACATAAACCTCTCTTTGTTCAACTCCCACTTATGAGAGCACATGGACACAGGGAGGGGCTGGGGGAAACGGGAAGGAGAGCATTAGGATAAATGCCTAATGCATGAGGGGCTAAAAACCTAGATGACAGGTTGATAGGTGCAGCAAACAACGATGGCACATGTATACCTATATAACAAACCTGCATGCTCTGAACATGTATCCCAGAACTTAAAGTAAAATAAAAGAAAACATTATAAAATAAAAAACAATGCAAACAACAACAACATAAACTTCTTATCTTATTTCACAGGTTAGAAGATTAAAAAGGATCTCACTTGGCTAAAATCAAAGGGTTGGCAGAGCTGTATTCCTTTCCTGGAGTCTGCAGGGGAAAATCCATCTCTCTTTCTCCAGATCTAGAGCCTGCCCATGTTCCCTGGTTCTTGGACCCCCTTCTCTATCTACAAAACCAGCAATGTTATATCTCTCTGACTGTTCTTCTGTGGTTATATCTCCCTCTCACTCTGTCTTCCATCTCACTCTTGCAGTTTTAAGGACTGATCCTCGTGATTGAGCCTTACATTGAGCCCATTATGGCAATACAGGATAATCTCTTCATTTCAAGGTTATTTACCTAATTATATCTGCAAAGTCCTTTTTGCTATGTAAGGTAGCATATTCTCAGGTCTCAGGTATTAAGACTTAGATGTGTTTGGTGGAAGGGTATTATTCTGCATACTACAAATTCCTTTACCAATTTAAGAGTCCATACATTATTCTTCTCTGTATCTTTCACAGTACCTAGTGCAGAATAATATTTGACCTGAAGGTTTTCTAAGAGATAAATAACAGCAATCTATGTTCCAAATAATGTGTGACCTAGGTCTCTGAAAAGCATTTTGGCTAATATTAACCTTCAACATCACCTTTTCCATGCAATCATCATGTTTTAGTTTTTAAAGGGGTAACATGGAGGAAGAGTTCTAGTGTTTAGTTATTGGATTCTTAAAATCTCCTTCATTTGGCAGGAGCTGTGCAGTGAATATCGTCATTATGTGAGGAATGGACGACTCCCCTGTACCAGAGAGAATGATCCTATTGAGGGTCTAGATGGGAAAATCCATGGCAACACCTGTTCCATGTGTGAAGCCTTCTTGTGAGTGAGAGGCAGCCACTGCTGCTACTGAGTGTAGAAGATCAGCATTGGGTGGGCAAGAGGGATGACATTGGAAGTTTTCTCCAGGAGGTAGATAATGAAGGCTGTCTTTGCATTGTGTTGGAAATTTACTATTATAAAGCCATATATTCAGCCCGTTGACTTCTGGTGTTCTTCAATAGTCTGAGAGGTACTTGAATCACCATCACAAAAGGACCATGTGCTAAGAGCAAAATTACCCAGGAGTTAATGGCATAAAAGGACTAGGATTTCTGTTCTCTGCAGGCATAGGTCACTGTCAAATAATCCAAAGGTGTAATCGTTAGGTGCTAATAAATTGAAAATGAGTTAATGTCTAATGATATCTTAGAAGCTTTCTGGGGAGAAGAACAACATCTTTATTTTTCAAAAGAGATATAGTCATAAAAATTTATGTGCTGGTTTACTATGGCATGTGTGTCTTCTTTAAACAACAATAAGAACAAGAACGGCTGGGCGCGGCGGCTCATGCCCGAAATCCCAGCACTTTGGGAGGCTGAGGTGGGCAGATCACAAGGTCAAGAGATCAAGACCATCCTAGCCAACATGGTGAAACCCCATCTCAACTAAAAATATAAAAATTAGCTGTGTGTGGTGGCACGTGCCTGTAGCCCCAGCTACTCAGGAGGCTGAGGCAGGAGAATTGCTTGAACCTGGGAGAATGAGGTTTCAGTGAGCCAAGATTGTGCCACTGCATGCCAGCCTGGCAACAGAGCGAGACTCCATCTCAAAAAAACAAAAAGCAAACAAACAAAAGAACAAGAACAATGATGTAGAGGGGTGTGTATTTACCTTTCTACTCCAAAGCTAAGTTGGTGGAGGTACAGAAGTAATGGACCATTTTTATGTAGAGACATTTCTCCTTTAGGATAATATGTATTGGGTGCTAGGAATGACTGTTTTGTCCTCCCTTTTCTTATAGCCAGCAAGAAGCAAAAGAAAAAGGAGCTGAACCCAGAGCAAAAGTCAAAAGAGAAGCTGAAAAGGTAGTGATCCTGAATGTTTACACTGCAATGAAAGTATGAGGTCTGGCAGTATCTCTGTAAAAATAACTATGGAATTACTGAAACCCCAGTTGTGAGGGAACTAGAGGTTCATTTAGTCCAGGGGTTGAGAAACTTTTTCTTAACAGAACAGATAGCAGATATTTCCGTTTTTGTGGCCATATAATCTCTGTCACAACTACTCAACTTGGCTGTTGTGACTCTAAGACAGCCCTAAACTGTATACAACCATGTGGGCATGACTGACTCCAGTACAATTTTATTTATAAAAACAAATGGCTGGTCAGATGTAGACCACAGGTCACAGTTTGTAAACCCCTGATTTATTCTGTTTGCATATATTAATATTAAGATTTAAAATTCAGAGGCTGAGCACGCTGGCTCGGCCTGTAATCCCAGCACTTTGGGAGGCGGAGGTGGGTGGATCACGAGATCAGGAGATAGAGACCATCCTGGCTAACATGGTGAAACCCCGTCTCTACTAAAAACATAGAAAAAAATTAGCCAGGAGTGGTGGCGGGCGCCTGTAGTCCCAGCTACTTGGGAGGCTGAGGCAGGAGAATGGCGTGAACCCAGGAGGCGGAGCTTGCAGTGAGCCAAGATCGTGCCACCACACTCCAGCCTGGGCGACAGAGCAAGACTCCATCTCAAAAGAAAAAAAAAAAAAGAAAAGAAAAATAAAATTCAGAGAAAAAGAATAACTTGCTTATAAAGTTAGTGGGAGTATGAGTATCAGTACCAATATCTTCATACTTCAAAGTTCTGGAAACAATAGAATTCAATCCTAGACTTGCTGATACCAAAGCCAGCCTTCTTTCTAACACACAATGTGTTTTTGATTACCACATTTGGTCAACACATGTGTTCCTTGCTTTACCTGTGGTTATATTTTCGTGCCAACATTTGGGGAAAATATTAAAAAGTAGCATGCCCAATTAATATTTTCTCGGATTCAAAAAGGCTGGCTCCAAGTAGTTTATTCCAAGTTGTGGTCATTTCCCTACCCCCATCAAAGACTATTGATAATAAAAATCACCTCTAAAGAAGTATTGCCCTGGAATTCTGTATGTTTGGCTTGTTTACAGTTGTATTGCACAGTTGTAATTCTAAATTTAAAAATAATAGCAGTTCACATGAAAAATAGATTCACTCTTCAACATCTATAAGAGAAAATTCTTCAGTATGAGATAATTTCAGATTTCACATTACTGCTACAGACAAACTCTCCTCTCATATTATTTTTCTTTTGCTAAATATGATTAATTAGGGGATCTGGCAATGAACTTTTAAGCAGAGCTAGGAGAAAAATTCCCTCTTTCATTTTCTTTGAATTTCAATTTAAGCTAAAGAATTCAGAATAAAATACAAAATTAATTGTAACTGCCATTTGTAATTAACTCTTTGATCTTAAGTGATTGCTAATTCTGTCTCAATTCCTCATGTAACCCTAAACAAGGAGTGTGCCCAGTCATCAGAGAACTAAGTTTATTGAGAGTCTTGTGTATGGCTGCAGGTTTAGTCTGGATTTGGGGGCTATCAAGGAAAAAGAAATAGAGCCTTCTTCTTAAGTCCTGTGGGCTTAATAGAAATTGAACACTATAATTGCCAGAAAAAAAATTCTCAGGTCATTTTCTCTCTCTCTCTCTCTCTCTTTTTTTTTTTTTCCATAAAGCACTTAGTAGGAACCCAATAAACTAATTTCCAAGAAGATACTCAAGCTTTCTCCTTTTCTTTTCTTTTTAGGAGACATGCGATGAATTTCGGAGTCTTTTGCAAAATGGAAAACTTTTCTGCACAAGGGAAAATGATCCTGTGCGTGGCCCAGATGGCAAGACCCATGGCAACAAGTGTGCCATGTGTAAGGCAGTCTTGTGAGTGCACAAAGAAAACCGCTGCTGTGGGATGGTGGAATTGGGGAAGCAATGAGCCAGGCAAATAATATGTATTGTGTTTGTCCTTTCCTTACATGTAATCGAAACAGAAGGTTATCTATAAAGCACTTGAAAGAAATCTTTTCTTTATAATGGCCAAGATTCACAGTTCTAGAAATAAAAAAAAATATACAACTAAGTTATTACATTCTCTGTTAGTTCTGGGGTTACATTCTACCAGTAGATCACACTTCCTGGATAAAATTCTTAAGTTATTTGCTATCAAGTGGATCCTTTCTCTGGATTATTTTGCAATTCATGTTGGAAAGAAAACACACAGATTTTAATGTCAAAGTCCTCACCTACATTGTTGAAAATAACACATTTTCAGAAAATGAAAAGTAGGTCTTTACACAAAGTTTGGAAGTACACCTAGAATATTTAAGTCATTCAATAGCATTTACCAAACATCTACAATGTACAATGTGTATAATGATTATACAAAGGTGAATAAAATAGATAATCTTCTCAGAAATCATGCAGTCCACTGAGATTAGTCTTGGACATAAGGTAATATAATACAAAGGAGGAACTGTTGAATGAAAAATTTGTCTGTAGTATGTTATGGTACTTCAAGAAAGGGACAGTTAATAGAAAGTTTTATGGTGAGATAGAACTGGACCTTATAATTTAGATAAAATGTGGACATGACAAAGTAATGAGAGGAAAAGAGGGGAACAGCAAGAGTAAGGATCTAAAATTAGGAAAAAAGCAAGTCATTTAGTTTAGTCAGAACTTACCAACTTTATCAACCTTGAATGCACACCACAGATTTTGAGGTCAATTCTATATGTAATGGGAAGCTGCAAAAATTGTTCAGATAGGACAGTATGTGGCATAAATATTGTTCCTTTAGGAAGATTCATTTATCAACAGTAAACAGGAGAAAAAGAGAAAGAAAGTACTAAACTTAAGAATTGCTACTCATGTAGCGGGGAGGAGCTGCAATAAATAACCTAGGAAGAGGCAGCTATGCAGAGCAAGGATGTAGGCTAGAAGGCAAGTGGATCAAGGTGGGGGATGCTGGGAAGGTGAAGTCAATGTCATGTGGCAACAGCTATGCAAGCTGAAGGACAGTGAGCAATTACAGATGATTCCACTGTTTTGTGTTTGTTTTTTGTGAAAGGTAGAAAATCTAGGAGAAAGAATACATTTGGTAGAGAAGATAATGATTTTGGGGCCTCTTGATCATTAGGTATTTATGATAAACACAGTTGGAGATCCCTAGTGAACATTTATGAAATGTTAGTTAATTGCTCATCTTGTCTTTGTTTGTTTGTTTGTTTTTTGATGTGGAGCCTCACTCTGTCATCCACACTGAAGTGCGGGGATGCAATCTCGGCTCACTGCAACTTCTGCCTCCCAGGTTCAAGTGATTCTCCTGCCCCAGCCTCCCTAGTAGCTGGGGTTACAGGCATACGCCACCACACCCGGCTAATTCTTGTATTTTTAGTAGAGACAGGGTTTCGCCATGTTGGCCAGACTGGTCTCGAACTCCTGACCTCAAGGATCCACCCACCTCAGGCTTCCAAAGTGCTGAGATTACAGGTGTGAGCCACCACATCCAGCTTCACTCACCTTGTCTTGTTTGTGGTGATATAATATGTGGTGTTCTTTTATTTTAATGAGACCCCTTCCTGGCAAAGGACTCCATATAATTTGTATTTTTATTTTCAGAGAAGGACTGCAGCAGAGTAGATGTTAACTCAATGCTCGATAATTCTATACATATGTGATTTGTTCATATAATGAGAAACTCAAAGAAATGCACACCATTATCTGTAATCTATTATTCCCTACCTCCCACTTTCTAATTTCCAGCCAGAAAGAAGATGAGGAAAGAAAGAGGAAAGAAGAGGAAGATCAGAGAAGTGCTGCAGGACATGGTTCCAGTGATGGTGGAGGAGGAAACACTCAGGTGAGAGCAACCTCTAATTTCAGTAACTGGGGCGGGCTCAACTCCTTGACAATAGGACTATGACACAACGTATATAGTCTATGGTAAGGGCAGTTTTATACAGCACTGAGTCCTTGGGAGAACAGATAATTTTCTCCTTAAGTTTGCAGGTAAGATATCAGCACATTTTCACTGCTCTGGGCTTCATTTTGACTTCTTTACACCTTGAAATAATTAACAATATATAATGACCTTATCCCAGTCTCCTGAGCCGTCTTTATGGTAATCTAGACCTCATATCAATAATTGTTCTCATCAGCATCACATGCTCTTCATTTTCTTTCATTATTCTTTCTTGCCTTGGACAGAGCCACTTTTCTGAGGTGTCTTTTCTGTCGATCCAAGGCAGCATGATAGGACAAAAAAGCACAGGATTTGGAGTCAGATTGGGATACGATCCCGCCCCTACTACCTGGACGTGTGAGACATTGAGTAAATTACTTCATCTCGCTGGATTCTACTTTCCCTGATCTAGCAGTACTCTTCCAGGGATAAAAGAAAATAATTTAGGCAAAGGTTTAGCATGTTTCTTGAGGCATTTTTAAGTGTCAGCATGGCAATGTTGCACAGAAGGTCACTCCTTCGGTCAATGAACACAGTTTCATAAAATTGCAGTCACCTTATTTATCTTCTTACAACCTTGGAATATCAAAACCATGTCTTCACTTCCAGATCTGACAAAGGCCCAATATTTACCTTTGATAAACTCTGGCTGTTCTGTTTTTTTCCATCTTTTTTGCTTTAGGAGGCTGAGTTCTGTCTTTGAAGGAATAGCCCTGTTGATTAGACTTGTCTGATAAACATTTTGTCTGTCTTGTTCATAACTTGGTCAAACCTACCTTCCTTGACATTTTATGTAACTTTGGGTTTTCCTCCAGCATTTTTCTCTCTCTTCTATCTGCACTAGAGATCTGCACATTTTTTTTTCTGTATAAGGCCAGATAAATACTTTCAGCATTGTGGGCATTGTGGGTCATATAATGTCTGCTGCAACTATTTCACACTGCCATTGTTGTGGGAAAGAAGCCAAAAAATAATATCTGAATAAATGAGTGAGGATGTGTTTCAGCAAAACTTTATGTGTAAGAACAGGCAGCAGGAAAGACTTTTCCCTGTGGGCTACACAATTGACCCTTGAACAACGTGGGTTTGAACTTCCCAGGTCCGCTTGTACGTAATTGTTTTCAACCAAACTTAGATAAAAAATACAGGATTTGTGGGAGGTGAAACCTGAATATCTGGAAGACTAACTTTTTGTATAGGTGAGTTGTACAGGGCCAACTGACAGACTTGAGTATACATGGATTTTGATCCTGGGACCAGTCCCCTAAGTATACCAAGGGGAACCTGTAGCTTGCTGACATTTAATATATGTTGTTAAATTCGTCATATTTACAATTTTCTTGTATAGATCCTTAAAAGCAACATTAGTAGCCATGATAATTCATCTCTTGTAATTAGAACATGGGTGATTTTGGTCCCTTTTTCTCTGCGGATACCAGACCTAGATTTTTTTTTTTTTTTTTGAGACTGAGTCTCACCCTGTCACCCAGGCTAGAATGCAATGGTGCAATCTTGGCTCACTGCAACTTCTGCCTTCTGGGTTCAAATGATTCTCCTACCTCAGCCACCTGAGTAGCTGGGATTACAGGCTCCTGCCACCATGCCCAGCTAATATTTGTATTTTCAGTAGAGATGGGTTTCACCGTGTTGTCCAGGCTGGTCCCGAACTCCTGACTTCATGATCTGCCCGCCTTGGCCTCCCAAAGTGCTGGGATTACAGGCATGAGCCACTGTGCCCAGCGGCCGCCACCCAGGTGCCAAGGCAAGAGATTGAGGGCACCAGTTGTTCCAGTATAATAAAATATATGAAATAAGAATAGTTATACTAGATATAGATAACAGATATGATTATGTATGAATATCATTAATCATTAGTTTGTAGCAATTACTCTTTACTCCAGTATTATAATAATCCTTGCTCTACAATTATAACTTAGGAAAAACCAGGCCATACAGAGATAGGAGCTGAGGGGACATAGTGAGAAGTGACCAGAAGACAGGAGTGCGAGCCTTCTGTTATGCCCAGGCAGGGCCACCAGAGGGCTCCTTGGTCTAGTGGAACGCCAGCATCTGGGAAGGTGCCTGCTGCCAAGCAGACCGTGTTCTAGTGGTAGCGTCAGTGTCAAAGAAAAACACTTGCTACTTAGCAGACCAGGAGAGGGAGTCTCCCTTTCCCCGGAGTTCAGAGAAGACTCTACTCCTCCCCATCTTGTGGAGGGCCTGACATCAGTCAGGGCCACCCACAGTTATCCGGAGGCCTAACCGTCTCCCTGTGATGCTGTGCTTTAGTGGTCATGCTCCTAGTCCGCCTTCATGTTCCATCCTGTACACCTGGCTCTGCCTTTTAGATAACAGTAACAAATGAGTGAAAGTAATAAAAAGTTTCTGATATGCAGAAATAATGGCGTAAGCCGTCTCTCTCTCTCTCCTCTCTTTCTCTCTGCCTTGACTGCCAGGTAGGGAAGGGCCCCTTGTCCAATGGACACGTGACCCACATGACTTTCCCTATCATTGGAGATGGCTCTCACTCCTTACCCTGTCCCTTTATCTTGTATCCAATAAATATCAGCGCAGCCTGGCATTCGGGGCCACTACCGGTCTCCACGTCTTGGTGGTAGTGGTCCTCCCGGCCCAGTTGTCTTTTCTTTTATCTCTTTGTCTTGTGTCTTTATTCCTACAATCTCTCGTCTCCGCACAAGGGGAGAAAAACCCACCGACCCTGTGGGGCTGCACCCTACACCCGGCGGTGTTATGTTTCTTATAAAGAGAGGTGAAAGAACTTCTCTTACTCAGATTGTTAAAAATATTTATTAAGAATACAGTAGACTAAGTAATCCAGGGGGACTTCATTCTTCTCTGTTTTCAGGATAAATGTGCTGAGTTTCGGGAACAAATGAAAAATGGAAGACTCAGCTGTACTCGGGAGAGTGATCCTGTACGTGATGCCGATGGCAAATCGTACAACAATAAGTGTACGATGTGTAAAGCAAAATTGTAAGTATTTCTCTCAACAGGCATGTCTAAAACATAGTCACATTCCTCTTGAATGAATGGCTATTTCTCATTTGCTATGGCTCTTTCCATGCAAATTGTTCTTTTTGCTAGTTTCCAAATATTATATTTTTTCTCTTGCATTCTCTAAGGAACAATGAGTCTTAGCAAGGGCAGTTAACCAAGTGGCTGATTTCTATTGTATTTTCTATTACAATTCTGTGAAGTCTAAGTCCTATCATGGTAGACCCTTGTTCTTTATTGTGCCAGAATTCTAGGAAGACTTTGTGATGGCCATTTGGAATCATTGACCAGCACAGTTGAAGAAAGTTGGCTTCTTGTCATTTGCACGGGACACACTTACTGCATAATCCAGGGTCAATATGTGCTAACAAGACGAATATTGAATTTTTTCTCCTCCAGGGAAAGAGAAGCAGAGAGAAAAAATGATGATTCTCACTCCAGCTCAAATGGGACTGGATCAGAATCAGGGAAGGTGAGTTATTATTTGGGTTTTGGCAAGAATGTTCTTTCTGTGAGTCAACAGTTGGCGATCAAAACTACAGAAGAAGGTGCCAATATGATCAAGCTAGAGCTTGCCCATAGAAGGTCAGGAGTTACCAAGTTATCAGTGATTATCACTTTATGAAGCAATTTTATAAATAATAGTTTATTAATTATTTCAACAGCCTGGTCAAATATGGCCTTTTAACCTTATTTTATAGATAGGGAAAATGAGGTTTTGCAAGTATACTGGGATTTATTTTTGTTTTTGTATTATTTTGCTGCTATTATAAGTTACTACAAGCAGTTGTTTAAAATAACACAAATTTATTATCTTATATTTCTGGATTCCATAAGTTTTAAATGGGTCTGATCATGCTAAAATGAAGGTGTCGATAATGCTGCATTCCTTTGTGGAGGCTCTAGGTGAGGATCTGGTTCTTTGCTTTTTCTAACTTCTAGAAGCTACCTGTATTCCTTAGCTTGTGGCCACCCTTAAGCCAGTGATGGCCAGTCTAGTCCTTCTCATGTGGTATCGTTCTCACACTGACTCTCCTGCCTCTGCCTCTCTCTTTCATAAGTAAGAACCTTTGCGATTACCTGGGCCCCACTTGGATAATCCGGGGTAACTTCCCCATTTTAAATTCAGCTGATTAGCAATCTTAATTCCATATTCAGCCATAATTCCTCCTTGCTATGAAAGCAACCTATCTGGAGGTTCCAGGAATTAGAACATATGTCTAAAACAGAGTCTGATTCCACAGAGGACATTGTGGAATGTCCTCTCTGTGGGCCATTATTTTGCCTACCACAGCAAGGTTACATGGCTGCCTGACTCTTGGAAAGAAATCCTCTGATTCTCAAATCCAATCAGATACTATGTAAAAACAGCACTTCCAATATAATCTTTCCATCTTTTCAGGATACCTGTGATGAGTTTAGAAACCAAATGAAAAATGGAAAACTTATCTGCACTCGAGAAAGTGACCCTGTCCGGGGTCCAGATGGCAAGACACATGGCAATAAGTGTGCTATGTGTAAGGAAAAACTGTGAGTATGTTTCAAAATGAGATTTTGCCTGTGAGTCTTAAAGTACAATAGTCATTTCTTACCAGTTTGAGAAAATGACAGTTGTCTTAGAAGCAGATCTAGTAATTAATGAGGTGTTTGTTCACTTTGATTGAAATGTTTCATTGTTTTCCCCCCAGGGAAAGGGAAGCAGCTGAAAAAAAAAAGAAAGAGGATGAAAACAGGAGCAATACGGGAGAAAGGAGCAATGACAAAGAGGTAATAGATGTTAGACACGCTAATACCTGAATTCAGTTAGTTCACTGTATGGTAAATTTATTCAACAAATATTCATGAAATGCTGACTCTGTCCCAATCATTGGCAATATAATGGTAAACAATGAAGTCATGGCCAGATCTTGAAAATAAATAACATGCTCTTCAATTCCCCAAGAGTGACTCTGATGCAATTGTAGAACCAGTGACAATTGTTAAATTATTGTAGTTAGCCAGTGAATTTCATTTTTGAATTTTTTCTTTCCTTTGAGACAGGGTCTTGCTGTTGCTCAGGCTGGTCTCGAACTCCTGAGCTCAAGCGATCTGCTGGAGCTCAAGTCTCAGCCTCCCAAAGTGCTGGGATTACATGAGCCATCACACTTGGCTGTTTCTGAATTTTTTAAACAAATAAATATCAAACAATCAGATGCCAAAAATTACAAAGAAAATTAGTATCAAAAGTTTGGAGTTTGAGGCCAGGAACGGTGGCTCACGACTGTAATCCCAGCACTTTGATAAGCCGAGGCGGGCGGATCAGGAGGTCAGGAGATCGAGACCATCCTGGCTAACACAGTGAAACCCCGTCTCTACTAAAAATACAAAAAATTAGCCGGTCGTGCTGGCGGGCGCCTGTAGTCCCAGCTACTTGGGAGGCTGAGGCAGGAGAATGGCGTGAACCTGGGAGGCGGAGCTTGCAGTGAGCCGAGATCGCACTGCTGCACTCCAGCCTGGGCGACAGAGCGAGATTCTGTCTCAAAAACAAAAACAGAAAAACAAACAAACAAACAAAAAAACAGAAAGAAAAAAAGTTGGAGTTTGAGATAATAAATTCTTGATCTGGCATTTCATTGCCACCTAGTGTTCAGTTTTAGTCTTCATAACTAGTATTCAACACTACAACACCAACACGTAGAATATTACACAGCACAATCTCTTTTAATCCACCGACGGACTCCAATTAGAACAGAAAAATAGTAAAATTTCCCTAGGAAGATTTTTCCTATTGGTAGGGCAACTTTTCATTAAGCCTGTAGTGACTAAAGAAAATGAAATATTAATAGTAATTATAATTATTTAAAAATATTTTGGGAATTTTATTGCACAACTTCACATGATCTTTAAAGGACATCTATTTAAAATCTTGGTAAATTTTTAATTTTATGATCCTTATCTAAAAAATTTCAAACAGAAGAATGCTATCTATATGTATAGATAGAAAATATTGAGTGAAAAAAACCAACAATAAAGAAAATATGGAGACAGGGTGTGGTAACTCACTCTTATAATTCCAGTGTTTTGGGAGACCAGAGCACGAGAATTGCTTGAGCCTAAGAGTTCAAAACCAGCCTGGGCAACATAGTGAGACCCTGTCTCTACGAAATAATAATAATAACAATAATAATAAAAATAGCCGGGCATGATGGTGCAAACCTGCAACTCTAGCTACTGGGAGGTTAAGGTGAGCAGATCACTTGAGCCCAGGAGTTCAAGGCAGCAGTGAGCTGTGATAGCATTATCGCACTCCAGCCTGGGCAACAGAGTGAGAACTTGTCTTAAAAAAATAAATAAAAAGAAAATATTGAGATTGTATGTGTGTGTGTGTGTGTGTGTGTGTGTGTGTGTGTGTGAAATAGAGAACTACAGTTTTATCTACATATGCAAAGTTAAATAAGGCTTACCAATAATTATATTTAAACCTCCCCCAAAATCTATGCAGTGGGTAATATTTTTCTAATTTTTTAGAATTCAGGAAAACTTAAGAGAAGTTAGCTACACATAAATAATGAATAGAAGAACCAAAGACTGAATTGCAGGGTTGCAATACAGTCAGAGGAGTGCTATTATAGACGTATGTGGTATTGTGAGCACCTGGAAAAGAAAATACTTCCAGTAATTTGTGAAAATGGTGGTTGTGAGACATTTAATATGTTGATAGGTATTTAATTCCAGAGAATTAATACCTTTTTGAATGCTGCAATAAAAAGTAAGGCCTGGAATTGTTTGTTTACGGACACCACAATTTAAAGAAAGAAGGGTAAGTACAATCTAGGTTACTGTGTTATTTTTTAAGGTAATGTTTCCATATCATCACTTTGGCTCTTTGGGCTTAAACGAAGTTCCAGAGACTTCTGAAGCTCTCTGAAGATTTTAATACATTCCAGATCCTGTCTGTAGACTCGGTTCTATTGGCTTCTTTTTACGATCATTATGTTTCAATGAACACAAAAGGCAGCTCCATATACTTATCCACAGATAGGAGTTTTATTCTCTGCCTTGTAAAAGCAAATAAGTAAAAAGGTATAGCCTGGTGGTTAGCAGGTTTCTGATCACAAATTCAACACTGACTTTATTTAATATCGCTGGGATTTATTTTTCTCATCTGTAGAATGGGAATGATGAGTATTTATTTATAAGATTTTTACAACCACTAAAATAAATCTGTTAAGCCACACGACAAAGAACTTTGCACAATAAAAATGTTTGTTTTTGTTTTTTTGGCTTGTTCTTGGTAAATTGTTGTTGAGAAATGAAGCTGAAAGTTTACATGTTTTTATGTTTTGCAGAAGAGTGTCTTTTAGTTCATTCCAGGGCTTTTGAAGTAGACTTTTTATGTGTGGAATACTGAGTGCACTCATGGGGAGACAGGTTTGGGGCTCTGCCTCATAGAAAATTGTATTAAAATGAGATGGGGCAGGGCATTGGGGGCTCATGCCTGTAATCTCAGTGCTTTAGGAGGCCAATGTGAGATAATCACTTAAAGCTAAGAGTTTAAGACCAGCCCACGCAACACAGAGAGACTCTCGTCTCTACAAAAAATTTTAAAATATTAGCTAGGTACCGTGGCACATGCCTATAGTTCTAGCTACTCAGGAGGCTGAGGTGGGAGTGTTGCTTGAGCCCAGTAGTTGGAGGCTACGATGAGCTACGATTGCACCACTGCACTCCAGGCTGGACAGCAGAGCAAGATCATATATATATACACACACACACACACACACACACACACACACACACATATATATACACACACGCACACGCATATACACACACACACTTAGTTTTTAAAGGAATAGGCTGCTTTAGGAGTACTGAAATTCCATTAGGGCAAGACAATCATTTGAGAGAGATGCAATGAACAAGATTCAAACTTCTTACGTAGAGATTGACTAAAGTGCCTTTAAAACATATTTCTTCTCTGAAATTTTACTTTCTCTGTTTTTTTTCCTGTGTTATGAGTTTATATCTAATCAGTCAATCACGTTATCAGGTTTTAAAGATTATACCATGACAGTAACATCTTTTTTTGCTACTGTTGGTAGGATCTGTGTCGTGAATTTCGAAGCATGCGGATAAATGGGAAGCTTATCTGCACCAGAGAAAATAACCCTGTTCGAGGCCCATATGGCAAGATGCACATCAATAAATGTGCTATGTGTCAGAGCATCTTGTACGTAAAAAGGTTTATCAATAAATTTGATAGTTGTGCCTGTTTGCCAGAAATTAGTTCTTGTTACTTTTAAAACCTAAGATACTTGGCATCACACATTAATGATACGATAGCTCCTCTCTTTTGAAGAGACAATTTCCAAAGCCCTTTCACAATAATTTTTTTATTTTGATGTTGAGAAGCATAATCACACCCAGAACCTCTGGGGTAGGAAAAGGTAGCTTATCAGCTATGTAACCTGGGACAGGCCAGTTCATTGTGCAGAGCCTCAGTTCCTCCTGAGGGAAAAATAACTGCACAATATAGTTTTGTGGAGATCGAGGACATTTTAAAAATGCTTCTGAACTTCAAAGCATTATACCTATGTAAATAACAATCAAAACTATGAGTTTAGTGATAATTTAGTTAGAGAAGTAAAAATGAAAATTATAGAAACTTTCTAGATAAGAGTCATAAGTCTGTTATATTAAGGAAAAATAAAGACCTTTCAGGACCATATTTTCCTGGATAAGAATATAGTAACAGCAGGCCGAGACGGGCGGATCACGAGGTCAGGAGATCGAGACCATCCTGGCTGACACGGTGAAACCCCGTCTCTACTAAAAAAATACAAAAAAAACTTAGCCGGGCGAGGTGGCGGGCGCCTGTAGTCCCAGCTACTCGGGAGGCTGAGGCAGGAGAATGGCGTGAACCCGGGAGGCGGAGCTTGCAGTGAGCTGAGATCCGGCCACTGCACTCCAGCCTGGGCGACAGAGCGAGACTCCGTCTCAAAAAAAAAAAAAGAATATAGTAACAGCATCTATGATAGTTGATAGCATTGCCACAAATATATTATCATGAAAATTCCAACAATCAGAACTGATTAGCTTATAGAAAAGTATTCTTAGAATTTTATTTTCAAGTATAAGAAAATAGTGTTAGATTTGCTAATGTTTAGCATTGAAGAAACACTTGGTTAAAGACAATTCAGTAACAACCCTAGAAAAATTACCCTATCTTTTTTTTTTTTTTAAATCTGCAGCGATCGAGAAGCTAATGAAAGAAAAAAGAAAGATGAAGAGAAATCAAGTAGCAAGCCCTCAAATAATGCAAAGGTTATTTCTTAAAGGATACCAAAATAACTCTCTTACTTTTCACCCTTGGAATTTTGCATTCTTCTCCAGTTTTGGGAATAATAAAGATACTAATCTCTTAACTTCAAAGAGAATTGATTTTACTAGTCTTGTCACTTTGGATCATAACAAGATTTTCTGGGGAGTTTTGGGGTTTGATATCGTTTTTGATTTTGTGGAAAATTCTCTGAGAGTGTGTGTCAATTAATGTTTTAGTCTTTCTTCCTTGGGAGAAATATGGATTGAAAAGTAGAGGGTAAAATTCTTTACCAACTCAACTGCATGCTTATCTTTGACACTTTAAGTGTGAAATAAGGCTTTGGGTAGCTCGTTGATATTTATTTTAATAATTCAGGCAATATAAACTAATCTAAGTCTCCCTTTTAGCTTCCCTTCTGTTTTCACCAGATGATTTTATCAGCATTAAAGAATCAGTAGTGTGCGTGCGTGATGCTTTCTTTTCTATTTCTTTTTCAAGACTACAAAGAAGACATCTTCATTCAGTTCTTTAATAGTAACAATCACATTTGTAGAGTTAGATCCCTAAGCAATTGTCCTTTTGTCAAAAGCATGCTTCATCGGGAAAATAGGGGAAAGGAAGGATAGATGAATGGGAGGAAAAAACAAGAAGGCCTATCAAGTGTTGTGTTATGTTTCCCTACATTTTTCAGGACCAGTGCAGACAGGTTCAGAATGAAGTGGAGGATGCAAAGTTTAGGCAACCTGTGTGTTCCCTGGCCTCTGTTGCCAGCATAAGTACAGTGAGTCTGAGCCCAGAACTAAGAGAGGACTTCCTAAAACTAAGTTTGAAAAAATCACTAAGCCAAAAAGGGACAAAGTCACGTTCACTTTCCCTTTCTCATTTTCTAGGATGAGTGCAGTGAATTTCGAAACTATATAAGGAACAATGAGCTCATCTGCCCTAGAGAGAATGACCCAGTGCGTGGTGCTGATGGAAAGTTCTATACAAACAAGTGCTACATGTGCAGAGCTGTCTTGTGAGTGAGATGATTCTGCTCCTCCTGCAGCTAGCAGGGGAAGTGCATGTTTAGAAACTGCTGATTGAATAAATTTGTGTATTTATGAACCCTATGGGATTTTAAAAATAAGTCTTTAGAATTAAAGTCCTCAAATTGAGAACACCTGATATAGTAGAAAGAACATTTAGACTTGGAGACAGAAATTCCGTAAGTTCTAACCAAGATGTATACTAACTGTGTCATTAGACAATTTGTTTTCAACTTTCAGCATCATAATTACAAGAAATTCTTCAAGATCTTTATTCCACAACTAGATCAGACTCAATGGAGATGCCTCATAAAAATAAACACACATTTTTACACCCCAAAATATATTACATCAGAATCTTGGGGTGATGTAATTTATTTTTTAGAGTTTCTAGATTATTCTAAAAAGCAACTAGAAGTGGAGACCAATGGACATTATAAATGATGATGATGATGATGATGGTTGTAAAGCACACTGTGAACACAACAATAGTCAAATTTATTTAGCTTTTCATAGTAAGTGTTCTTTGAGGGAGGAATTACCAAATACTACTCTCATTTTATGTTCTAGAAAATCAAAACTTAAGCACATTAAGCCGCTTGTCATCTGTTAAGTGATGAAAGTTCTACACCGGCTCCTAATTGTGTATTTTCTTAATATGTTATCCTGGTCACTATCTCAATGTTCTGTGATTATGATTTATTTATTTGTTTATTTATTTATTTACTGAGACAGTGTCTCACTCTGTTGCCCAGGCTGGAGTGCAATGGTGCAATCTCAGGTCACTGCAACCTCTACCTCCCAGGTTCAAGAGATTCTCCTGCCTCAGCCTTCCGAGTAGCTGGGATAGCAGGTGTGCACCACCATGCCCAGCTAATTTTTATATTTTTAGTAGAGACGGAGTTTCTGTTGGCCAGGCTGGTCTCCAACTCCTGACCTCAGGTGATTCGCCAGCCTAGGCCTCCCAAAATCCTGGGGTTACAGGCATGAGATACCATGCCTGGCCTCTGTCATATTTTATGAGGATTGCTTAACTTCTCACTGAAAGTTATAGGAACTGTTTCTTATTTTCAGTTACTTTTTGTTTTCTTCTCTAGTCTAACAGAAGCTTTGGAAAGGGCAAAACTTCAAGAAAAGCCATCCCATGTTAGAGCTTCTCAAGAGCAAGACAGCCCAGACTCTCTCAGTTCTCTGGTAAGGAGGACTATTTCTGAAAAGCTACTTATCGGTTTAATTTTCCTGATTTTTTTTTGACCTGTTGCTATTTGCTATTTTCATAGAAGGGTCTGAGGTTTGCTGATTCAGTGCATCCTGAAGTCATTTGAGGACTATATGCAGTTTATGCTTGGCAAGAGTTCTGGGGTTTCTCATTAGTGCCTTATTCTGTGCCCTTTGAGATTATTTGCCTTGCTTCAGTTTAGTACATTTTGAAATTTACAATGTGGGTGTGGAATAATTGTGACTAATCTCACATGTGGTAGAATACGTAGTCAGATGCCTCAATTCTGTAATTTTAGCACACCAACAAGTTTCCTCACCTAGCTTCCGCTTATTTCCCTCCTCCAACCAAATCCGTGTCCACATCCTGGAACTCTAGGCCAAGCATGCTCACAGGTGTAAATTTCCACAAATTAGCAATTCGCAGTAGCTGAAACTTCTTGTTTAAAATATAGGCTGAACTGGGTGTGGTGGTTCATGTAAATTGGGCTCCACATCAGGGATACAAAGGCATGGAGAATAGCTATTAACAAAATATGTTTTTTTTAGAAAATGCTAAAGTATAATAGTCACATAAAAGAAATGCACATATTTCTTCTGTGATAGCAGCAAGAAATAAGATATCATCAGCAGACCAGTAACCCCCTCATTCTCCCTCATAATCTACAGTCTGTTTTGGAGCTGAGATTTCTTTTGGAAAAATAAATCTTTCATTATTCATTTCTTTTCATCAAGCCAGCAGTCCTTTTGTCAGTCTACAAATACTTATTGAGCACCCACTATTTTTCCAGGCAGTATTTATGTATGCTAGGTTAATAGCCATAAACAAAAGAGATAGCACTCACTCCATTAAGTTCATAGTATATTGGAAAAGCAGATACAATAAATAATACAAATAAATAAATAAAATAATGCCAAGGAGGAAATAAGGCAGAAAAAAAAATGGTACAGTAAATTCTGAGATGGGGAGGGGAGGGGATACAATTTTAAGTGGCATATATAGGGAATAACTCTCTCAGAAGGTGACATTTACATTAAGACCTAAGGGTACTGATTCTGTAGGTATATCTGAGGGGAACATATTCCAGGGAGAAAACATAGCAAAACGTTTAGTGTTGTTGAAATAGAGCTACCTCAGCTGTAGAGGAGGAAGTCAGGAAGCTAATGGGAGGCCATGTTATAAAGGGTTTTGTAGACAGTTTTAAAGACTTTGCCTAATATTCTGATTGACGGTTTTGAGAAGAGTAATATGATTTGATTTATATTTTAAAGGAATAACTTTGCCTGATATCTATTGAAAACACTGCAGGGAGGCAAGGGCTGGACAGCTAGTTAGCTATTGCAGTAGTCTACAGAAGAGATGATGCTAGTTTATACCATGTGGTGGAACTTTTGAGAGGTGGTTAGATACTGGGTCTGTTTTGAAGGTGGAGTCAACAAAATTTGTTGAGTTGAAGTACTATGTTAAAAAAAATTAAGAGAGAGAGAGTAAGGAGCATTGTAGTACCTTTTGAACATTATAGCACCAGTTACCTGAAAAAATACACTTGATATACCTGGTTGAGTCTAACCTTTGCCAGGGATTCATATAAGTTACTTATCTAAATTCTCCATGAATATTTATACTAATATGGAACTCACCACAATCTAAAGCAATTCATTTAGGTGTTTGAATCATTTATCAAAACAAAGGAACAAGCAAACAAATACTGCTTGACTTCTCCAAAATGAGTATTAACAGATATAATATTAAATTTTCTGTCATCTTTGTGCCTGTTTTCAGTAAGTAGTTTTCAAGGAATGTATTAATTTCACCTATGTTGTCAAATTTTTTGGTATATAGTTATTTATAACATTTCTAAATTATTCTTTTAATATCTACAGCTCATATAACGATGATCTTTTATCTCTAATATTGGTAATATATGTTTTCTTGACTCTGATCAATTTTGCAAATAGCTTATCAACTTACTAATCTTTTCAAGCAGCCAACTTTTGGCTTTTTTCTGTTTTCTATTTCATTAATTTCTCCTCTTTATTATTTATTTAAAAATTTTTTTATGCTTATCATTGGCTAGCTTCTTCAGATGAAAGTTTAGATCATCCATTTTAGAACTTCCTTCTTTTCTAATATATGTATTAAGGTTATAAATTTCCCCCAAATTACTGCTTTAGCTGCTGGGATTTGACAGGTTATATTTTCTTTGCAATTCATTTCATTTCTAAATTCTGTGATTACTTTGAGTCATGAGTTATTTAGAACTCATCCCTTTACTTATAAATATATTTCTTATAAATGTTATATACTTGATTCTTTTTGTTCTTCCAGTTTGATAATTTCTGTGTTTTAACTGGAGTACTTACTTGTTAATATTCTATGTAATTACTGATACCATTGGATTTAAGTCTTCCATCATCCTATTTGCTTTTGAATCCATTTTTTTGTATTTTGGCTCTACTTTTTGTCTTCTTAAAAAACTAATCAAGTTCTTGTAATTATCATTAATTACTAAACTCGTACTTCCAAAACACTACAAAGAGCAAATATGTTTCTTCTTTCACATGGAAAATATACATATGATTTTACCATGGAGCACATACTGACAACTAAAAGTTACTGAACACTTAGTATGTGACTGATACTGTGTTAAGCATGAACTTACATGCATTATCTGTTTTAATCCCTTAAAGCAGTAATATAAAGTAAGGACTACTATTATTTATGATTTTCAGATGAGAAAATTAAGGCTGAGAAAAGTTAGATAAGTCACTTCTCTAGTTAGTGGTAGAGCTAGGACTCAAAAACTCATGCAATTTATGAGTATTGATCTCTGAGTCTTTCCTTTCTAGGCTGTGTATAACCAGTATCTTCACTTAAAAAGGCGAATATTATTTCTAGCATGCCTATCATTCTAGATTTCTTCTTATGGGCAGGTAATTGTGTCACATATTATAAAGGATTTTTGCTTTCTTATTGCTTTGCTATTCCTTGTTTCTTTGTTTATTTACCTTGTCTAGTTAAAAATGGCCAAATTCAGGAAGTTAAATTCACCTCATATGGTGCAAAATCAATCTTTGAGTTTGAATAACCTATATCACAGTCCTTTTACGACCATTTATTCAAGTTGGATTAAGGAACTCAAGAGGTTTTCTTAAGCCCATCCATCTCTTTGAATGCCATAAAGTAAGTCTGCTTTATGTTTTGCTTCTTCAGGATTCTGAGATGTGCAAAGACTACCGAGTATTGCCCAGGATAGGTTATCTTTGTCCGAAGGATTTAAAGCCTGTCTGTGGTGACGATGGCCAAACCTACAACAATCCCTGCATGCTCTGTCATGAAAACCTGTAAGTATTCAAGTTGCCCCATCATATCTTCCTGTTTAGAATTTCTCAGCTAGAGTGTTAACCCATAGTAATGCACCAATATAAATTTGAAGGGTATTGCAAGTAATTTATTCATTGTAGAAATTAAAAATTCAAAATTCGTGAATTATCTTTCTTATATGTAAAATAGAAAAGATTTAAGGCTATTCTTTTGGTAAATTGCTTACCTACATTGCTATATGCTCTATTGAGTAAAAGAGAACAAAAAAAAAATAGTGGGGTTACAATTACAGAATATAGGGATAAGCCTGTGTACAGTCACGGGAGTGTGAATATCATTCATTCTGTGTGTAGTGGACAAAAACAGCAGAGAAGTACTGCTATATAAACCCAGCCCAGTGTATAATATCTAAAAGCTCCTATGACTATAATATAGCTACAGATTCCCCATTTCTTTAACCCCACCTCTTGAAAGAAGTAGTACCTTGCAAAAGGAAAGTGCACTGTACAAAAGAAAGCACAATAAGTAAATGGCTGATCTGATGTCTGCTCTCATATTTATGACTATCTGGGTATCTGGAGGCATATTATTTCATGATTCTAAATCTCGCTCCCTTCATTGGAGAAATGCAGACAGTTCTCTGAGCTACTGACTTCACAGATGATTGAGAAGAACTGCTAGATATAAAAATATTTTTATCTTAAGTTAAATTCAAGGGATTCATTTTAATATTCTTATTATTGGCTTTAGTTTTGTTGTTGCTCCTCTGCTCAAATGCTGTCTAAATTTTTAAATAATTTCCCCTTGCCTCTATGTGCATCCCTTCCCTTCTCCTGGCCACCATTTGGCCAGCTTTCAAGGAGAGAATGGTGACAAACCTTGTTTTTTCCATCTCACCTGACCCCAGACCTACATTGCAGTTCTTGTACTACTTTATCCTTCTTAGGACACTATAAGCAAGGCCCAGAACATGAGGATAGGACTCCCTGATATCCTGCTTTTTAATCCTGGAAAAATATTTAAAAGAAAAAGGCACTCCTCAAGTCATATGCTTAAAAGCATAAAATCTGAATATAATCCTTCATCTATAGGTAAGGTATGGTAGATAAGGCACTTTCAGATTTCAGTCACTGAATCCCTGCAACCTGCTATGGAATGTTGTTATCTTTATTGCACAGAAGGTTAATCTGAGGCTCAGAGAGTCCAGGTAATTTGTTTAAAGTTACAAAGCTAGGAAGTAAATCAGACAGGATTTTGACCTTATTGATTTGGGTCTAAATACAGTTTTCTTTTTTCTCCACTTAAATTCCTTAGTTTTTCAAAGACCAAAGATTCCTTAGATAATATGAAGAAAGTTACCCCTTTCAAGAAATTTTTTAAAAATTATGTGATGTGAACAATCCACACACATAATATTCATAGGCTCATGGAGCACTTGAAATTCATCCATAGACCTTATAGGTTTTTAATAATTAACAAATTCTTAGCAAACTATCGCAAGAACAGAAAACCAAATTCTGCATGTTCTCACTCATAGGTGGGAATTGAACAATGAGATCACCTGGACACAGGAAGGGGATCATCACACACCGGGTCCTATTGTGGGGAGGGGGGAGAGGGGAAGGATAGCATTAGGAGATATACCTAATGCAAATGATGAGTTAATGGGTGCAGCATACCAACATGGCACATGTATACATATGTAACAAACTTGCACGTTGTGCACACGTACCCTAGAACTTAAAGTATAATTTAAAAAAAAAGAAGAATTAAGAAATTCTTGTTTAAGCAATAAATATAACTGCCCAGGAATTCCATTACTATGTATACCTTATCTGCAGCCCAGAAATCCTTCAATTCCTCTTTCTTGTAAATGTCAGGGCCTAAATTATCCATAAAATTTTCTTCAACATTTTCATCAACTTTATAGACCCATAACAAGTGATCTATTTAAGGGAACTTTAGAGTAAGAAACTGAAATGATGAAAATATTAAGAAAGCATGCCTCAGGATAGTTTGTTTGGTTAAGGGAGCTGGGAGTACATATTATAAAGAAGGATCAGGTTATCTGAGGCAGAAGGAAACAATATTCATTTCCAAGGTTTTAGAGAAAGTTATAGGAGAGCAATTTCAACTTAAGCAACGCCAAAAGACAAATTGCACTGCCTTGATAGATAATGAGTTTCCCATTACCAGAGGCAAACAAGTACATGTCTGATTCATAATATTTCTCCAGTGAAAGGGTTAAAATTCATACTCCTTAAGATTCATTCCAACCACAAAACTCAGACTGTATCATTTGTGTCTTGTTATATTTTTCCCCAAGTCATATTACTGGTACTCAATATAGTCAGACATCTCTCTCGGATCTATTTCTCGCATCTGTAAATGCGAGATCACCTTTAGACCAGATGATCTCCAAGTTTATTTCCAACATTCTTTATGAACTATATCAGTGAATGAAATGTGACAGGATAGGTCCAGGGCTAGGGGACAAATCTGGAGCAGAAGAGAGACAGCCTGGACGATACCTACTGAAAATGAAAATAGTTGAATGCAGATCCCAGATCCTCCCTCTAAATGCAGTTTGGTTTGATACCAAATGTCCTGCGCGTTGGTCCTTATTTATTTTCTTATTATAACTGAGAACTTCCTCATTGTTGAAGCATCCTCTGATCTGTTTTAGGATACGCCAAACAAATACACACATCCGCAGTACAGGGAAGTGTGAGGAGAGCAGCACCCCAGAAACAACCGCTGCCAGCAAGCCCGCATCTGTAAGTACAGAAGTAGACTGGCCTCCATGGTTACGCTGTGAGGAGTAGTGGGTTCTGGTTTTATTCTCTTCCATTGAGTAACAGACATTTATCTGGCCAGAGAGGTAACACTAGGTCAGGTGACCCAGAATTGGTCACATTTTCACTATAAGGATAATTAAGTAATTACTGAAATAAGTGGAAATAATGCAGCAGTTAATATTTTGAACTATTTAATGGATTCATTAATAGATTGTTTATGAGCAATGTCTCCAATATAACGTTTCTTATTTCAGGATAGGTTTTATCTTCTGTGATCTACAATACGAAGATGAGACAGAGACCAAGAGAGGTCAGAGAGTGACAGAGTTGGATTTAAACAATTTCTATATAATGCCCATATTCTTGAACTTTGCATTGTATTAAATTATTTTCCAGCATTAAAAGTTGACCAATTTCATTTAAACTCCTGAAAGGATGTTTCAACATGCATTACTGAATTTGACATTCTCCCTGGTGGCTATTTAAATAGTCATCCTCAGGGAGATGGTATATAACATGAAAAAATAGGAATTTTCAAATAAGAGAAAAATATTTTGTTTTGGGATAAATGTCAGTGCAAAGTTCAGTTTTTGCTATGCTTCCTATATGAGACTCTTGGCAAATCACATAAATACTCTAAACCAAATATTCCAATGAACTATGAAAATATTCAATAAAGACTGACTTTTATACATTTGGCACAATATCTGAAAAATTAATGTTACTATTATTACCATGCCTAAGACCAAAGTATGAATTTAGAAAAAGAGAAGAGTCCAAAGTATGAACTTAGATAAACAGACCATGGTATAGTGCTTATTTATTTTTAATAAATTATTTTCAATTGTAGTTTGATAAAATTATATGTAATAAACAACATTTTAATGCATTATATTTAATAAAGCTATTTATTATTATTCACATTCTCTTTGCTCCATTCCACTGCCACAGAAAGCTTTGGCAATAATGGAATCAGAAACTATTCAGCCAGATTTGAAAACCTTAGTCAAGCAATACTAGATAAGGCCATATTAAAAATGTCTACCCAACAATCTTTGTTATGGGAAACTGTGAAAACAAGAATCATAAGCTAAAGTCTTCCTAGTTTCACATTAGCAGCTGAAAGCAGTGTAGAGGAAGCCGAGGACTGGAATGAAATCAGAAGACCTTATCTTTCTCATGTGGGCTTGACAAAGTTATTTACCACCCATTTAAAGACCTCCATTCTGGTTCTTTACCAGAATCCATAAAAAGAGAATTTAAACTTTAACTCTCGTCCCTATATTGTGTTTGCTGTCTTATTATATAGAAATTCTTAGTAGTTTGCTCCCATTTTATTGACAGAATATACTGTTCCCCCTCCTCACAAACTCACCTTTACATATATCTCAGGAGACAAAGGTCAAAATAGCTTTATGCCAGTCCAATAGACCACACCTTAGACCACACTTCCCTGTAACTCTCATCCTGTGTAGGCAACGTGGAAAAACTACTTTATAAAGAATTTGCCATAGGTTTATACTAGTAAGATGTATTTCTTTAAATAATGAAGAATCTTGCCGGGGCTCGGCACACAAGGTGTTGTAAAAGAGTGCCGTTCTTCCATTTCTGGGTGTATGCTTTCCACTGGAGTTGCATAGCAGACATTAATAATGACAGAAATTATTATGCTGTTAGTTAATGAAACAAAAACTGAAAGTGTCCTGGACACAGGTGGAACTTCAGGTCCCTGCGTAAGATTCAAGGGTATGATCTTGGGAACAGGTGGTAGAGACTGGTCATGGCCTAGCATTGTTCTGATGACTAGTAAGGATATATATACTGGAGTTGAAGCCTATTGTCTGAACTTTATTTCTGGGTGGAAGTTTCTCTAAGGAAGTCTGGAATCTCAAGAATAGAATAACAGTCCAGGCAGTCACAACTTTCCTGGAAAAGTACGTTGAGTATCTTGGAACTCACACTTTTGTTACTAAATACATAATACTTCTTATTATACAATAACTATTGTACGGTAACTACTAAGATTTACATAGGTCTTTAGAGTTTTATGTACATTTTCTGTTTGTTTCCTTCCAATAGTCATTTGATTAGGGCAGGGATCACTGTCTTTCCCATTTTACAGAAAATCATCTTGGGGGAAACTGTCACTTACTAAAGTCCCTCAGTATAATACATTGGGTTCAACGTAGATGTCCCGACTTCGTTTCCAATGCTCTACTACCATTCCTTAGTTGTCAGGAGATTCTGAAAACTAAGTGCTCTCGAGAAGGCATTATCTCAATTAAAAGATGATTTGCTAGTTTGGAAGGAAATTTCTATATTAAGAAAAATACCAGTATTGTTTTGTGAGATAAATAAATGACTATTCTTATCTCTATTTCTCAATGATTTCTCAAGTCTATGGACATCTTGCATTCTACATTATTATTATGCATTTTGATAGGTTCACTTGAAAATTCTTATCTGTATCTGTCAATTTCATGACAGATTTTCAAGGATTCAGGAAGACCAAAGCTTGCTACTTTCAAACCAAAGAAAACTGCCTGGAGTTGATATAGGCAATAAAGTGGAGAGACAGTGCTGCTCATGCCCCAGGTGGTACTAGTTGAAGATGTGCAGTTATGTGAAAGAAAATTCCTGAGGCCCTCACCGCCTATAAGATTATTTTTAAAATACTGATTTAATGTGTTAAAAGTTGATTTCAAATATATGGATGAGTCAGGCAAACGAAGACAGCTGATTACATTCTAGTGGCCTACAACAAACTATAGTAGAAAAACATTCATGTTACAGGAATTGAATTCAAGTTATGACCTAACATGACAGCGGCAAGTTACTAAACTTCTCTGAAGCTCAATTTCCTCATCTACAAAATGGTGCTAATTATACCTACTTCTTTTTTATCAGCATGAAGGCTGCATGTGATCAAAGGCAGAATTAAGCCATGTTCATTTTTGTGTCCACCTCAACACGTTGTACATACTAGGTGCTCAATATTTGTTGTATCAAACTGGATAAAATGTGAAACTGATTTTTAAACTGTTAGTTCTTTGCAGAATGCAGAATCTATGTATTTCTTTGATTAAGATGCAGCTCTAAATATACAGCCCACATTTCTGCAGTATCTCTGGATTCTAGTATCTAACTTACCCATCTTCTCTTCTAGGATGAATGACGGGAAGATTGTTGAAAGCCATGAGGGAAAAAATAAACCCCAATTCTGAATCACCTACCTTCACCTCTGTATATACAAAGAATTCTTTGGAGCTTGTCTTATTTGCTATAGAAAACAATACAGAGCTGTTGGGAATAGACTCACTGATTTTCAGTCTTTTCCATCTCTTTCCTCCTAGACTCCGTAATCTGAGGGTATAAAGAAATCTCCACCAAGTCTGAGCCCTCAAAATGTCCTGATTACAATGCTGCCTGTCCAACTGCCTGTTCAATAAAAGCAAACTCAGCAGAACACCCTTTCTGAGGCTTCATTGTCACTGTCTGGATAATAGATATTTGCTTTTACAGAAACTGAATAAACTCTACCCTTTTGTGTTTTTGTCTGGCTAAACCCATTGGTGGACAGAGAATGCTCACTTTATTCCTGCTTAAGTTGCTGTCATAGCTGAGAAAGACTGTCTAGAAGAGAGGTGGGGAGATACGGGTTCCCAGCAGCCAACAGCTATACGAAGTTAAACTAGCTATAAATCAGTTTCATCTTAACTATTCATTACCATACCAGCTCCCTTTTCTACATTTTCATGAATGGGATAACTGCCTCTCAGTTATTTAGGTCCCATCCAAAGACACAAACCAGTAAGTTCTCATGTCTATTCATTAAGTTACATCTTGACAATTTCCTATATCACGGCCTTTTACACATAATCTGGGAAGAACTAAGAAAATTAATTACCAATTTGTGTAAGCCTCTAAAGTGGCAATCTCCAATAGAAATGTAATTTAAGCCATATATGCAGTTTTAAATTTTCTAGAGGCTAGAAATAATTAATAATTATAAAATTATTAATTTCAATAATATATTTCATTTAGCTTAATATAGCAAAACGATTAATGTAATAAATATAAACTTTTAAATTTACTAAGTCTTTGATTTTGGTGTATGTTTTACACTTCTAAGCCAGAAGGTTTACAATTATATGCAATTTTAAATTTTCTAGAAGCTACAAATAATTAATAATTATAAAATTAATTTCAATAATATATTTCATTTAGCTTAAGATAGCAAAACTATTAATATAATCAATATACATTTTGAAATTTACTAAGTCTTTGATTTTAGTGTATATTTTACACCTTCTAAACCAGAAGGTGATAAATAATGCTGAGATGGGACTAAAGAAAGTCAAAATACTTCTGTCAGCCCCACCTGTCCACTACTACCAAATACGTATTTTCTCTATATAACATGATCTTCAGATTTCCTTTTGCATTAAGGGTTTTCAGAGATCTATCCCTTTCAAACTCCTTATTTTCTCATTTTAGTAGTCCTCCTGAAGCCTTCCCATTTCTTTCAGGCATCAGAAATACCTCAGGATGTGGAGAAAAGAGAATGTTTACACACTCTTGATGAAAAGCTAAGATGGTCCACATCTCATTTTGGACCAGCCACATTTCAAGTACTCAAGAGATACATGTGGATAGAGGTCACTGTATTAGGCAACACAGTGCTGCCGTGAGCTAATGGACGTGGGAAATCAGAGAAGGAATGTAGGCACTAGGTAGGGGTGGATGAAATGCTTGTAAACACCTTCCTCTATGCTAAAACCCTGTAAATCCCTAGTCTACCTAGTTGCTTTGTTCACTAGAAAATTCTGGGCTAATTCTGAATACACTCCATAGGGAGAAATTATATGGAAAATCCATTTTGCTGCAAGATGTTCTCAGCTCCAGAAGAACTAGCCTGATGTGACAGACTTACTTGGATTTGGGAAGTTAATTTGTTATTTTTCCCCTCTTTTTTTTTTTTTCTGTCTCTACTAGCTCAATTAAAATAGGATTTGGAAATCTTTTTCCTTCGTAACTGAGTGAAAATAAATTATCCCTTATGCTGCATTCTTTTCTACATTACATTAAGAAAAAAAGAAGAAGGGCCTATAAGTAATTTTTTCAAGCATGAGAAATATGTAATAATTCCTGTTGAATTATTATTATTATTAGGCAATTTTGGGATGTACAGGATGGGTTCAGAGTGCCTATGACATATGAGATTTTTTGTCTTCTTCCTGTTCACTTCTAGGAATACAGAAAAACTCTTTTTCTGGCTAAAACATACGCTTTTCTGAGAAGGTGTTTTGTTATGTCATTTTGAATATCTGATTAGAATATAAACACAAATCCTTTATATTTATTTTATGATTATTAATATACTCAAAAGACATTCTTATCCCGTCCTTAAGACGTTACCAATTCTTAGTAATCACTCTGAGTACAGAGACAGAGTTTGGCTTAGAGATAGAGTGGGGTAGAGGATACAATAGTCTGGAATGGGATGAGACAAGGAAATGAGGAGAGGCCCAGTGACCTCAGGAGTAAGAATCAAAGATGGAGGGTGGGGCGGGTGAAGAGGTCAGGGATAGAACAAGACCAAGGAAAATAAAGTTGAAAATAGAGTGAGGCTCATGGATTGGGGTTAAGAGTGTGAATGTGTAGAATGTATTACCTGGGATTTAAAAAGCTGAAAGTTGATTTCTTTTGGGGGGTATACAAACTGGAGTGTTTATAAAATTGCATCTATGTCAAAATGGTAACAAATAAATTGATTCACCAAATATCAAGTAAACTAATCTTTGAGTTACTTAAGTTATATCCTGATGGACAGGAGGTAAATGAAAACCAGGCCTATCTCACTGAGGCTTCAAAACTAGATCTAAAATTCTAAACCAGAAGGTGATAAATAATGCTGAGATGAGACTAAAGAAAGCCAAAATACTTCTGTCAGCCCCACCTGTCCACTACTACCAAATACGTATTGTCTCTATATAACATGATCTTCAGATTTCCTTTTGCATTAAGGGTTTTCAGAGATCTATCCCTTTCATACTCCTTATTTTCTCATTTTAGTAGTCCTCCTGAAGCCTTCCCATTTCTTTCAGGCATCAGAAATACCTCAGGATGTGGAGAAAAGAGAAGGTTTACACACTCTTGATGAAAATATAAATTATTTAAAACCCTATGGAAAACAATATGGAGACATCTCAAAAAACTAAAAATAGAACTACCATTTGACTCAGCAATTCCACTACTAAGCATCTGACCAAAGGAAAATAAATCATTATAGACATAAAGACACCTGCACTAGGATGTTTATCACAGCTCAATTCACAGTGGCAAAATCATGGAACCAACCTAAGTATCCATCAACAGTTGCTTGGATTAAAATGTGGTATATATACACCACAGAATCCAATGCACCCATTAAAAGGAAGGAAATCTTGTCCTTTGCAGCAACATAGATGGAGTTGGAAGCCATCATCCTAAGTGAACTAACTCAGAAACAGAAAATCAAAGATTGTATATTCTCAGTTATAAGTGGCACTCATAGACATAAAGACAGATACTAAACTCTGAGAACTCCAAAAGGAGGGATGGGAGAGGGATGAGGGCTGAAGAATTACCTATTTGATATAATGTTCACCATTTGGGTGATAGGTACACTAGAAGTCTACCGTTATACAATATACCCATATGATAACATGCACATTTACTCTTTGAATCTAAAATTAAGAATGAAAACATCAAGTTACTTCTGGAACCAACAGCAGATAATTCTGTAGTTGATTAGTAATTCCTGCCATAAGCACAGGGCAGAAGTAACAAAGGCAGGAACACCAGGTATTTGCCATCCCACAATAGGGCAGATACGTAGGAACTGAGAAGATCTAAGCTGAAATCCTGACTTTGTCACTCACTAACTCTATGACAATGAAAATACTATCTCTCTGGGTCTTCATTTCTTCATTTCTTCTATAAAAGGGGGGCTAATAATTTCTGCCTTACAGGTTACAATGAGGATTATATTATATAGTTTATGAATGCCATAAACTGAAGATCTCATATACATTAAGTGCTCAATAAATGCTTGTTATCATTAATTAATATAAAAACAGTAAGTTGTCAGAATTTGCCTATTCAGTAAACTCTCTAATTCAATTAATTTCCTTGTGATTTTTTTCCTTTTTAACCTCAAAAATATCTTTGACACATAAATTTTAAAAAATTATAATTTTAGAAAATGCAAAAGTGTACATTGCTCCTAATTTTCTTGAAACATACCATTTTCTTCACCAGTTTTTAATCTTTTCCTTTAAATAAGCACTCATGTCCTGTGGATATCTTGGATCAGGATTTGCTGTTGTTTATTTGTACCTAGTTTTCACTCTAATAAAATGGATTAGGTACTATAACACAGTATTAAAGAAAGAAAGAAAAAAAAGAAATAAAGAGAGCACTTGTCTAGACTATAGATCTCCAGACTTTTCCTATGAAGAGCCAAATTGTAACTATTTCGGGTTTTGTGGAATATATAACCTCTTTTGTTGCTGCTATTGTATAAACAAATGCAAATAAATTTATATTATGTAAACATGTTCCCACAGCTATGTACCAATAAAACTCTATTTACAAAGGCACATGGTGGGTTGGATCTGACCCTGGGGCTGTAGTTTCCCTGATGTAGAACAACTAGCTCAGCAATGGATGAATGTCTGGCTCTCATCCTTATTTGCAACTTGTCTTCTCTTTGCCCCTTCCCACACCTTCAAACACCAACAACATTCTTCATTTTATGATAATAACAGTGATAATTTTTAAAGTTCCACTTTTATATAAAACTTAATATGTACTCGAAATCAAGAAAAACACATAGAGAAGCTCACATTTGTACTCCAAATCTATGTGCTATTTTATGGATTGAATATTTTTCCCTCAAAATTTACAGGTTAAGCCCTAGCCCCCACAGTAACTGTATTTAGAGATAGAGCTATTAGGGAGGTAATTAAGGTTAAATGGATTATAAAGGAAAGACCCTAATCTAACAGGATTGGTGTCCTTATAAAAAGAGGAAGAAACACCAGAGATCTCTCTCTGAATGTGCACAAGGAAAGGTCATTTGAAGATAGAGCAAAAAGGTAGCCACCTGCAAACCAGGATGAGAGCCTTCACCAGAAACAGAATTTTCTGGCACCTAGGTCTTGGACTTTTCATCTCCAGAGTGTGAGAAAATACATTTTTGTTGTTTAAGCCACCCAGCCTCTGGTACTTTGTTAGAGCAGCAGAGCTAACTAGTGTAGTTGTGGTCTTCTTGATTGACTTTGACCAAGGTTACTCTAATATCTAACCCAGTTAAATTGTGAATGAGTCCTCAAATGACACTCGCTGAGGACCTTACTAATGATGAGTGATGTCCCAAACAGTTCTTTTTGTAGAAAGAAGCAGAATAGGACATCTTGTTCTTTCCTGGGCACCATCCTGGCACAGAGATCCCCTTTTCTTTCCAGTACTGAAATTAAGGTTTTAAATAAATAGCATATGACAATAAATCATTCTTCAAGCATGAAGAGAGAACAGAGAGAAAGACTGTCACTTTTTGATAGGTGCCTGGAAAAAAACATCAATTAAAATATTTTTCTTTCGTGATGGAATTTTCATTTGACCATGTAACAGTTTTTCTTGGATTATTTTGAGGGATGATGTGCCGTCTTCCTGCAGGTCATTCTAGGTACTTTATTTTAATTTGCTGCAGTGCTTTTAACTATTTCTCAAGTCTATGGACACCTTGCATTCTACATTATTATTATTATTATTATTATTATTATTATTATTATTATTTTGAGACGGAGTTTCGCTCTTGTTGCCCAGGCTGGAGTGCAGTGGCACAATCTTGGCTCACTACAACCTCTGCCTCCCACGTTCAAGCGATTCTCCTTTCAGCCTCCTGAGTAGCTGGGATTACAGGCGCATGCAACCACGCCCAGCTAATTTTTTGTAGTTTTAGCAGAGACAGGGTTTCACCATGTTGGCCAGGCTGGTCTTGAACTCCTGACCTAAGGTGATCCACCTGCCTTGGCCTCTCAAAGTGCTGGGATTACAGGCATGAGCCACCACATGCGGCCTCTACCTTTTTTTTTAACATGTATTTTCTACCCTCTTTATCACTTCCGCAGACTTTTGCAATATCCTTCTGCAATATACTTGCTTGTAATATGAATAATTCACATTCGTAGGGGAACGAGGTAATGGAAGACTTTCAGAATAAAGCTGCATCTTTACTGAGATGAAAAAAATTAGTATAGAGTTTGGAGAGACAAAAATTCTAAAATGGAACGAAAGGGGGAAGAGAAGGACCAGGAATGGATAAAGTGGTTATGCTAGGAAGAGGGGGCATGTGTAGAAGGGAAGGAGAACAACACAAGGGCTGTATCTTTTACAACTTGTTTGTTTTGAAATGACCTCTTCAAAACACAAATCTATTCAATTTCCCAACTCAAATTGGTTGAAAAATCCTACTCAGCAGCCAAACTTCATAAGAACAAAGCAAAACTAGGCAAACCTGAAATCTATGCATTCTCCTTGTCTTCGTCTTTCCCTTTCATCCTTCATGTAACCACAAAATTTGATAAACATTTGGTTCCAGCTATCATCCTTCTTTCCTGATTGACTACAACAGCTTTATAACAGATCTCAGTGCTGTACTCTCTTCTACTTCATTTCATTCTCCCCTGTGGTAATTACCTGAAGTTAGGATTTGATGGTGTTGTGCTTAAAACCTTGAAGTGGCTTCTCCTGACACACAAGTTCTCTGTTTACCTCTTCAGCCTCAACATTTGTGTTGCTCTCCTTCCCATCTACACTTGCATGATTTTCTTGAAATTGTTTCCACATGTCCCCTCTTCCTAACGTAACCACTTTATCCATCCCTGCTCCTTCTCTTTCCCTTTTTCCTTCCACTGGAGAAATTTTCTCTCCAAACTCTATACTATTTTTTTCATCTCAGTAAAGATGCTGCTTTATTCTAAAAGCTTTCCATGACCCACTTCCCCATATGAATGTGAATTATTTATTCATTTGTTATGCTCCTATAACACTCTGTCCTTACACCTATATTGCACCTATATTACTGTTACTGTTTACTAGTTAGTTATTTACAAGTTGGTCTGTCTCAATGGAATGTGACTTCTTTAAAAAACAAGAGAGTTTATTATTGTTTTTATCTCTACTGCTGATCGCAATGTTGGGCATGAAGCAGTTGCTCATTAAAAGTGGTTGAGTAAACTTAGACATTTAAGATAAGAATGTTAAAAGGGAGTAATATTTAGGACAGACACTCTCAGTTCTGATCAGTAACACAAAGCCTCTACAAGGATAGAGAAGGGAACTTATTTTTCAGAGAACTTAGGAATTCTGCATTCTCTTCCAAGTACAAATTAAAAATTGTTAGCACTGATGGAAACAGTTTGTATTGTTGGAAGTAAGCTAGTTCCATGAAATGTGAACTTATGAAATGTTCCCATCTCTCCCTCAAGAAGGCTATAATCATGAGGTGGTTCTCAGAAATATTAGATAAGTTGCAGCTAAAAAGGAGGGCAAAGAGTAGCATGACCCCAGAACAAGTATCCTGTTAAGTGTCTTTTTTTTTTTTTTTGTAATTAACATTGTACTTTCAACTAATTAATTTTTTTTGTTTGCTAAGTATGTAATGTGTAGTTGACAAAGATCTCAATCAGGAAAAGGTATTTCTTTACGGCTGATAAAATCCTGGAGTGACAGAACTGGCAGAGACTTAGAGATAATTTCTCCAATATCCTTAACATATGGAAAGCCTGAAGCAGAGAGGAACAGTAATTTTCTGAGCAAATCTAAATGTGTGTAAATCAGAAATAAAAATGTAAGTGAATGGCTTGTAATCTCATGTTCTTTATACCACATCCTTTAGCCTCATGAATCCTAGTCATGTGTTCTCTGTATAAATAATATTGTCTATCTGATTGTGTTTTCTGGCAAAAGGAATGGAATTTGTATTCAGTGATCTTAGAAAATTGTCGATTATCTGTAGAAATGGTCACTTCTGCTTATTTATAGAGTATTTCAACTTTATATCTACAGGATATGAGGTAGAAGAAAGTACACTTGCAGATTTAATCCACATATAGCAATGGGGTTAGTGATAAAAAGTAAATTCCAATGCCTTGACTTACATGAAAGAAATCCATAGGGTCAGTTATACAATGAAAGGTTGTCAGCCATTATATTCTTACTTTGGAATCGACTTTGTTCCTATAGTTTTAAGTAAAAAAAGTTGCCAGAAATTGTACTGCTACTGTCTCTAAAAGTGAGCACTTAAACATATTTGCTTATGTTCTAGCCCTTGTTTATAGAACACGCATTGAGGAGTTGAACAGGAAATGTCACATCATTCTTTACCCAGGAGCTATTCCTATACACTCAGAAGAAGCAGCTGGATGAGCTCCAGCTCTAATGGTTTACTCCGGAACTTCTGGTAGGGATGCTTACCCTCAGATTAGCTGTCTTAGTTCATTTTGTTTTGCTATACAGAATATTTGAGGCTAGGTAAATTATAAAGAAAAGAGGTTTTTTAGCTCATTGTTCTGCAAGCTAAGTTCAAGAGCATAGCACCACATCTGACTGGCTTCTGGTGAGGCTACATTCTGGGTCAAAACATGGTGGAGAAGCATAAAAGCGAGTGGCATGTTCAAAGAGATCTCATGGTAAGAGAGCAAGGAAGAGAGACAATCTAGGAAGCTGAACTCAATTTTATAACACCTGCTTTCTGGTAACTAATCCAGTCCTGCAATAGTGAGAACCCACTCACTCCCAAGGGAGGATATTAATCTATTCATGAGAAATGCATATATTTTGGGGTCCTCCAAGGCCCAAACACCTCCCAGTAGGCCTCACTCCCAACATTTCCACATTAGAGATCAAATTGCAACATGATCTTTGGCATGTTGAAATGCCACGTGGCTTGGCATGTGGTTTTCCTTGACAAATGAAGCAAATACCCTATCTTGAGTTAACAGACAATCATCATTGAAAATGTTGGTCTTGGATGTGGGAGGTACCCTGCCTTGTGTGTGTATTTATACCTGTATGGGATAGACCACTCCTCTCTCTCTGGACTCCTTGGCTCAGAGCAGCATATCTCCATCATTGGCATTTATCATCATTATGAAGGGCTTCACTGCTTTTGCCATCCTTGCTCTAGCAGCCACTGCCTGGGCTACCTCTCTATCTGGCAAGTCAGGATTTCTTTCCAATAGTCACGCATTTATGTTAACTGTAATATATTCAGCCTTCATTAAATTGTAAATGTTAATAACTAAAGAAAATTTAGAAGGCATCTGTTTGAATTGACTTGATTAATAAAAGTGAGATGGATCAGATCTTTAGTGTAAGGAAGAGAGACTGAGGAGAGGAATAAAAGGATTGTGGCTGTATGTTCCATTCCTGATCAGGATGCCTCAGGTCCTTTCAGAAACGACCTATAAAGCTTTGGGACTATAACCCATCCCAACATATTGGGGGAATGCCTACAGGAACTCTTGGACATCTGTGACAGCCCTTTCTTAATAAGCAGAGCTTTACTTACTGGATTTTTTTTTTAATCAGAGCCCCATACATCTCTATCTTGATCCTGAGTTTGGGCTTTCATAAAGAAATGGCCTCTTTTAGGGCTGGGCTGGGCAAGGATTATTGCTGGGAAGTGGGTTTTGGTTACTGTGAACAATGGGGATTTAGCTTTCAATTCTAACTGTGCGATTTGTTCTTTCTCCAACTCCTCCTCTTCAATTGACTCTTGCTTCGCTCTCTTCTGGTGATCAAACAAAAGGGACAAAGGTGAGTGCAACTGTCTCTGTGTGGTCTTTGTAAAAATGAAGTCATAGTGAAGGTGCAAATGGAGCTGTGAAAGCAGCTAAACTGGCTCACAGTGAACTCGTGTAATTCCTCTGGAGGTAAAAATATGTCTGCTCTGCACCTTCCTGGTGGTATTTCCTTCTCTAAAGCTTGCACAAGGAAACTCTTTGTAAAAGAATTGCAGATAAAGTAAACTTTTATCTTTGTATGGCATTTTAAGTTTTCTGAGCATTTTTCACATTCCTTATTCCTTTAGACTTTCATTAGAACCCTTAAAGGAGAGATTGATATTTCCTTGTTAAACAAAAAATTCCCTTATTATTTAGGGCATGTTCTGGTCTGTTTATTTCTGTAGCACAACACCCTGTTCATAGAAGATCTTCCAGATGTGTTCATTGAAAAGCTGAAGAGGCTAGTTCTCTTTCCACTTCCTTCCCCTTCACCATCTTGATACAAGAATAGAATTTAAGAATGGGAATACAGGACATTATTTTTTGTTCCAACTGCAGGTGAACTGTTCCAGATACATTAAAGGCTTAAAGACTGCATGCCCAAGAGACTGGAGACCAATATGTGGCACAGATCAGAAAACTTACAGTAATGAATGCACATTGTGCATGGTAAACCAGTAAGTGTTATACTCAATTTGAAGCCCCATCACTTCTTTTTTTATGATTACAAAGCCCGCACTGGCCAAAATCCTCTTGGTCTTTCCAAATGCCACTTTTTGTGTGCTTCTTCAATACCCCATGGACATTGCTCTGTTAAAGTTATGAAAAAGAAAAGCTTAGCTATATCTCTAAAGAAATATACATATACGTGTATATGTGGATTTACGTATGTAAATATATATGTGTGTGTGTGTACTTGTTAGAAGTAATGGCAAAAACTGCAATTACTTTTGTACATATATATACACACACATATTATATATATACACACACACATATATATATAATATATTTGTTATTCAACCAAATTCTCATTCACATTATATGCTATCTTTGGGGTATTAGCTGTTACCTATAAGCATTTGATACCCATATTACATTTAAGGAAACAGTCTCAAGCAGGAAATATATATTGGTCACATTTTCATGAATCTCCTACACTTTTCTTCCTCCACAGGAGAATTTTGAGGATAGCTATTTCTATTTAGGCTGTTAGCCATAGACACATAAAGCCTTGTGAATTTATATGGAAATATATGACTTTGATCTATCCTTAAGAACTTGTGTTTCCTCTCATGATCATCCAGAAAAGTTGAGGGAAGAGAATGATAGTACAAATGAATAGTTGGAATCAGCATATCCCCACCACTACTAGCCCTACAAGTTTAATATTAAGTCTTTACTTTTAACAAGATCTGAGACTTTAGAAGAATGAAACAAAGATTATTACCAGCCTTCCAGTAGTATGAATTCAATACTTTATGATTCATGGTTAAAATCATGGGCTTTGGTGTCAAACATTTGGATTAGAATCCAGACTGCACTTTGTAGATTATGCAAATACCCAAGTCACTACAAGCTTCAGTGTTCTTAACTCTAAGACAGAAATTATAACAGAATTTAGGATTCACTGTGATAAAGCATGCCAAATCTTAGCTAAGCGGCCAACACAGAGTGCCTTATAGAAGTATGCTCCTTTTTTCTTATATTTTTCTTCCTTCTTTTCTCCTATTTTCTAGTCCTTTTGAAAATTTGAAGTCAAGTATAACAGCAAGTGTTATCCAGAATAAGGTCTCTCAGTACATGTTAGCTCATACAGTAATGAAACCAGAAGAGATTAAAATTATATTATCTAATATCCTGTATTTAGAGAGCAGAAATCCAATATTTAGGAAGAAGTGACTATACCAAAATTGTATAGACTTTAAGTGGCAGAGAAAGATTTGGGCGTATTTTCTTTTTCTTAATTCCAAAGTTAAGAATGTTTTCACACTATATTATGCCTTAGATTCTCATCGAATATTCACAGGATTTAAAAAAAAAATGCTCAATCTACTCTTAGTGTTGATTTTATGTTCTTATATTCTTACTTGATTCAAAAGTGTTCATATATTAAAGATGTTTACCATCAATATTAACCAACTGGGACAGTAATTCAGCAAGAGCTTCTCATTATCAGTCTAGGTCAGACAACAAAGAAATAACATATGACTATTTTACTCTATAGACTATGAAATCTCAAATTATAACATTATACATTCAATAAAATATTCTCTTCCAGAGATCAAGAATTTCAACCCAGGAAGCTTCATGAAGGTGAATGTGTAAGTATATGTAGAAATTTTATTAATTCTTAATGTAAAATATTATAATATGCCTCACTTTCATAGAAAACAACTATTAAAAAATACATATTCTAAAAATTACATATGACTATTTATATTCATAGATAAGGCAACTGGCCAACCTAAGCAGATATGAAATATAGCAGAGGAAGAGTTCACAAAACTAACTCATAGCCCTTAATTGGAATATATTGCTATCCATGTAGTTATTTTCTAACATTGCAATTAACTAAAAGGTGAGGATTTCAAGGAAAATTAGGAGCTCAAAGACACTCTTATAACAATAAAAAAGTTATAAATAAAGTATGAAAAAATTAAAAACAAGTGTAGACACAATTAATTCAGGGGTAAAAAGCTATGTGTGTGGAGTGTCAATAATTCTAATGGAGTTTAAAATGTGATATAAGATAATTGTAAACATGGGGATGTGACAATAAAGACAGTTCATTTTTAGGATGGGCACCTAACCAAAGTTGATGGGTGAAAAAGAGAAGTATCATCACGAAACTGTTTTAAAAGTAGTTAAAATGACATTTAAAGAAGGAGTGGGAGTTGTCCTGATGCATACAGTTGGCAAAGGTCAGGCAAGATAGGAAAACAGCAAGAGCAAAAGCACAAAGGTATCCAGGGGCAGGAAATACTTGGGAACTCAGTCCTGAGGTTTAATTAGAGTAAGATGAGGAAGACATTGCAGACAAACCTGAAGAGATAAGCATGAGTCAGGAGAGGATTATCTCCTAATGGAGAATCAGTTAAGTATTTGAAGAGTAAGATCTATTTTGCTTTTTAAAAGATCAGTCTGGCATCAGTATGGAGAGTGACTGAAACCTCAGATAAGCATAGAGAATGGGCAGAGAATTGGCAGAAAATTGGGGTCGTTTGAACAAGACATATTGAGGGCCTGAATAAAGTGGATGACAGCATGATGAGGAGAGGACTGACTCAGAAATGAAGTACCAGATAGAATCCACAGGGTGTATTCATCACTTAGATACAGGGAATTAGTGAGAGGGAGGGCCTAAACTGGACTGAGCTGTCCCTAGCTGTGACAAGACTCCCAGCCTTGTGGAGACAGAGTATGTAAGCTGCAGCAGCTATATTTTTTGCATATGGAATTTTGGAATGAATGGTCTTTTAAGATCTTTTAAAAGTTTGTTTCCTATGATTTAATGATTTGAAAGATGAAACATTGTTTGTTTGTTTCCGATGGGGCAGATTCAGTGTACCGGGTATTCTGAGGTGTGTACCATGGACTACAAACCTCACTGTGGATCCGATGGAAATGTATATTCCAACAGATGTATCTTTTGCAATGCTGTTGTGTGAGTGCTGAATTTAATGTATTATTTGCAAAACTAGCCTCTCACAGAAATAGCCAGAAACAATCTTTGTTCCTAACAGGCTAGATGCTACTATGAAGCATAAGACTGTGATTATTATCATAATATTTTACAAAAATAAAGAAAATAAAAGAAGAAAAGAGAGAGGAAAAGAGGAAGAAAATATATAAGGAAAAAATTGATGCTAAGAAAATAAAAAATTTGGTCAACATCACTAAGTGGCTGCTAACAGAAAAATTTACAGATTCTTTGGCTTCTGACTCTGGCTCTTACTACCATGAAAAGTCTCTTTTCTACCATGTTAAAGTTTAGTGATTAATTACTCATTTTTAATGCCATGTACTCATCTAGCTGGCTTAATCTAAAATATGAAACTTTTCATTTAATATTTCCAAAGCCATCTTTTTAAAAAATAATAATAACTTTTATTGTAGGAGGAGCCAAGGTGCAATTCGGTTGAAAAATTATGGATTGTGCTGAATCTCCCTGATGCTTAAGGATATCAAGTCTCCTTTGGCAGATTCCACTTAGATAACCAGTTTGTCATGGATGACTGAGGAGGCAAGCAATAATCTGGTACAAACATGGATTTGAGTCTTCAATAAAATATTCTCAGCAAGAAACTGACTATCAGGCCTGTCTGTGGATGTGATTCTTCTCTTAAGGGGAATATCTATGGTCATTTTCCTAAGCTAAAAATCATATGGAAAGATTCTCTCTATTTCTACACAAATTGGGAACTAGATATTATACACATAATGGTGAGAGGAGAATATGCTCATATCATTTTTAGAAGACTCAATTGTTTTAAGTAAACATGAGTCAGAGGACGGACCTGTCCATTGGTCTCATATTATCTTTGGCACACTAATGAAGAGTGAAACATTTAGATCTGGAGAAAATGAGAATCCAAAATACTATACACTAATCAGAACAGACCAGTAATAACATAAATTTTAGGTGTCATCATTTAAAGACGACTCAGTCACATATGGGAACATGCAAAAGAAGGCATTATGTTGAAAGGATGGGGACATTAAAAACAAGATCTGATTGATTAAATGTTGAAGTCACTGAAAAGGCCTCAGGAAAATATGATGGAGGTGGGAAAGATGAGGATATATTCAAAACCATCATGAGAGAGAAACTCCAGAATTTTCTCATCTAGCATGCCATAGAAAGCACCCAGAGAATTAATTCAACTTGCTAAGATAGATATTGCACCTTGGAAAAGAAAAGAATTTTCTAATAGTAAGTTTGGAACACAGTAATGCCCTGTAAATTAACTGTGGAGACCACATGGTTTTTAAACACAGGTTGGTTAAATACATGCCAGATATGCTGTAGAGATGTGTGTGTGTGTGTGTGTGTGTGTGTGTGTGTTCTAGCAACACATATAGAAAAGTTATGAAGGGTAAAGCAATGTTTTGTGTGGGGAAAAGCAATACTAATGGGCAAAAGAGGAATCCATTTCATAAAGAAATTTTCAGACTAGTGAGAGAGACATACTTTTAAGGAGCTAATTACTATACAAGGTCACAAGGACCATACTATTAGACGTTTAATCAAGACAAAAAGAAAGATATGAGGTGTTAATGACATACTATATCAATCAGTCTACTTGTTTCTCAGTTGTAACAAAATACCACAGACTGCATGGCTTAAACAATGTAAATTTATTTTCTCAAAATTCTGGAGGTTGAAAAGTCCAAGATCAAGGTGCTGGTTAATTCAGTTCCTTGTGAAGCCTGTCTTCCTGGCTTGCAGATGGCTTCATTCTCACTGTGTCCTCACATGATGTGGGTGATGGTGAGAAAAAGACAAGAAACAGAGACAGGAAAAAAAAAAGAGAAAGAGAGGGTTATCTTTTTTTCTTATACAAGCCCATCAATCCTATTAGATTGAGGGCCCACCATTATGTGACCTCATTTAACCTTAATAAAGTCCTAAAAGCCTTATCTCCAAATACAGTCACATTAGGGGTTAGAATTTCAATATGTGAATTTTGGGGAACACAATTCAGTTTATTGCAGCTAGGTTACTAGAGTTTTATTTTTATCTTTTTTTATATGCATAAAGGATGGTACTTGGACAGGAGAAATGAAAGTATTCTATTATGAATTTCTTATACTGTAAGTAAAATGATATCATACCATTTAGACTTACACAGTGAGAATACATATATTTTGGGGTCTTAGAAACTAAGATTGCATATTTTTAAACCCTAAAACAATATTAAATAGCCAATAAGGGAAATAATAATAGAAAAAAAACTAAAAAAGAAAAAAAAGAAACTTCAGTCCAAAGAAGGAAAAGAAAATAAAAAGGAAGTAATGAAGAAGAATAGGTTGGACTAATGAAAAACAAGTGGCAAGATGATAGAATTAATGCAACTGTATTAGTCTCTATTAGTCAGGGTTCTCCAGAGAAACAGACTGATATATAATAATATATATAATATATAAATATATAATACATAAATAATAAAGAAAGAGAGAGAGAGAGAGAGAGTGTGTGTGTGTGTGTGTGTGTGTGCGTGTGTGTGTGTAGAGGGAGACAAAAGAGACAGAGACAGAGAGAGAGACAGAGCAACAGAGTAGGAGATTTAAGTCCCTGGCTCACACAATTATAGGGCTGGTAAGTCCAAAATCTGCAAGACAGAGCAGCAGGCTGGAAGTCCCAGAGGTGTATTGACATTGCTACTCAACTCTGAAGGTGGCCTGGAAGCAGAATTTCCTCTTCTTTGAGGGCTGCAATTAGTCCATTTAGTGTTGCTTATAACAGAATACCTGAAACTAAGTAATTTATAAAGAAAAAAATTACTGGGAACCCTGCACAGGGCTACTGTACAGCACACTGAGATTCATTCCCAGCCCCCAACCACTCTAGGGGAATGATTGAGTTAAACTGGCAAGGAGCAACCTGTACTGACGATGGGCTTCTGGAATCCTGGTGGGACAAGACCCCTCAACCACCATGGACATTTGAGTTGGCAGGGAGAGCTGCTTAGTGAAGTGTTAGGGGCAGCACTCCACTTGGTGTAGAGCCCAGAGGGTTTGGTGTGGGAGCATCTGTAGTGGAGCTTGTCCAGGGATGCGCATACTCCTAGGCTCAACTTGCCCCTGTAGGAGACTTTAGCCCTGGGGGAACTGCCAGACCTAAACTCTTTAGGGAGGTCTTGCTCATCAGACAGGACCAGTCAACCTGAGCACCTTTTAGTCTGCTGGCTTTACCTTGGGGTCCCAGCCTTGCTGTGTCTGTTTGCAGTGCAGACTTTGGTGCCCTGGAGACCCTCAACATAGCTCTTGTACTGGCAGACTGCACCTGACCAGGACAGCAGTCTCTGTAGACATGCACCAGTCTGCCTGCTCCCTTCCCCCACTGCAGTTTCCCCAAGGTCCACAGCCACACCCCACATTGCTTTATTGGTATCCCCTAGCACCATTCTGCAGCTGATGAGCATGCACCCTGCCATGTTGTTGCTGCCACTACTGCTGGCACATGAGAACAATGACAGGTCCTGCCACCTTCACCTTACACATTGCTTTGGCTATCACCACAAATCAGGGTGTGGTGACCAGTGGTCTGGAAGCACTTTGATCCCCATCCCCAGCATAATGAATTTCTAACCTCAAGGAGCCAGAGAACAATGTTGGGGCCTGATAGCAGTCCCCCAGAGTTAGAGCAGAAAATCCAGCAGTTGGTAGCTGAGCCTTTGCCCCCTAAAATCTTCCAATAATGAAGCCATGAGACTGAATCCAATTTATATACACAATCAAACCTTCAAGGTCATAAAATAGAATAGAAGAAAAAAAAATTCCAAGGGACAGCAGCTTCAAAGATTAAAGAAACGTCAGCCCACACAAATAAGAAAGAACCAGCACAAGAACTCTGACAACTCAAAAAGCCAGACTGCCTTCTTTCCTACAAACGACTGAACCAGTTTTATAGCAAATGTTCTTACCCAGGCAGAGATGGCTGAAATGACACAAATAAAATTCAGAATATGGATAAAAAGGGAGATCATTGAGATGCAGGAGTATGTTGAAACTCAATACAAGAAAGCTAAGAATCACAATAAAACAATGTAGCAGCTGACAGACAAAATATCTTGTATAGAAAAGAGCATAACCAACCTCATAGAGTTAAAAATATACTACAATAATTTCATAATGCAATCACAAGTATTAATAGCAGAATAGACCAAGCTGAGGGAAAAAAAATCTCAGAACTTCAAGACTGGCTTTCTGAAATAAGACAGTCAGACAAGAATAGAGAAACAAGAAAAAAAAAGGAATAAAAAAAGGAATAAAAAAAAACTCTGAGAAATATGGGATTACAAAGAGACCAAATCTACAACAGATTGGTGTCCCTGAAATAAATGGAGAGAATGGAAACAACTTGGAAAACATATTTCAGGATATCATCCATGAGAACTTCCCCAACCTGGCTAGAGAGGCCAATATTTAAATTCAAGAAATGCAGAGAACATCAGTAAGATACTTTGCAAGAATATCATCCTCAAGACAGATAATCATCAAATTTTCCAATTTCAAAAATAGAAGAAAAAATATTAAAGGAAGCTAGAGAGAAAGGGCATACCACTTATAAAAGAAGGCCCATCAGACTAACAGCCGACCTTTTAGCAGAAACCCTATAAGACAGAAGAGAAAGTGGGCCAATATTCAACATTCTTAAAGAAAGGAAAATTTCAATGAAGAATTTCATATTTGGCCAAACTAGGCTTCATAAGCAAAGAAGAAATGAGATCCTTTTCACAGAAGCAAATGATGAGGCAATTTGGTATCACCAGACCTGCCTTATAAGAGCTTCTGAAGGAAGCATTAAATATGGAAAGGAAAGACCATTACCAGTCACAACAAAAACATACTTAAGTATACAGACCAATGACACTATAAAACAACCACAGAAACAGGTCTGCATAATAACCAGCTAGCATCATGACAAGAGGATAAAATCCACACATGTCAATACTAACATTGAATTTAAATAAGCTAAATGCCCCAATTAAAAACACAGCAAGCTGGATAAAGAACCAAGACACAACATATGCTTTCATCAAGAGACCCATTTCACTTGCAGTGACACATATAGGCTCAAAATACATCTACCAAGCAAATGGAAAACAGAAAAAAGCAGGGGTTGCCATCCTAATTTCAGACAAAATAGACTTTAAACCAACAACGACCAAAAAAGACAAAGAAGGGCATCACATAATGGTAAGCACTTCAATTAAACAAGAAGACCTATCCTAAATATATATGCACCTAACACAGGAGCACCATGATTCATAAAGCATATTCTTAGAGACCTTCAAAGAGAGTCAGACTTCCACATAATAATAATGAAAGACTTCAACACCCCACTGAGAGTATTAGACAGATCATTGAGGCTGAAAATTAACAAAGACATTCAGAACCTGAACTTAACACTAGACCAAATGGAAGGGATAGACCTGTATAGAGCTCTCGACACAAA